CGCACCTACGGTCGACAGCCGGCCCGCCGCCTCGAACGACGACGACGACGACGACCAAGAGGCGCAACAACAGCAGCAGCACCCGATGGAAAACCGGATTTTCGTGTGGAACACGGCCGCGATCTCGGCGCCGCGCGACGAAGACGCCGTTGTCGCCGTCACCGCAGATGACGACGAGGACGGAGTAGAACAACATTCTGTTACCATAACGCCGACCAACGGACGTACACCGATGACGGAACGGGGTGCAGAAGAGGAGCAGCCCGAGGAACCGTATCCTACCTCACCTGTGCTATTGAAACGGCAGATACCGCCGCCGAACGTCAGAAAAGAAGGGAAAATGTACAAAACCGTAAGTGTTCACGTTTAAATCGTCTTTAAACCGTTGCACCAGATTTACCAGCTAGACGAGATATTATTTTATTCGCAATTTGGCTCTGTTTTTTATTCCAAAAACTCCCAAACATTCGTTCTCCGACGTGCACTAGAATATTAGAACGGTAATAACGAAGTTGGAGTTGATATGATCAATTTTTTTATTATTATTAAGAGACCGTCGTAGTAAAAATGAAACGCATACGACGTTCGATAGAACGCGCTGTTAAATGTTTTCAATTCGAATTTGATTTTTTAAATAAAAAAGCTAGGAGCGCGTTGTTTAAATTCGATTAGGTTTTATTAACGTTTGTCGTTACTTACGCGTTCCGATTTGATTATATTATCACCGCTAATAGACCCTTGGCAATATAATAACGTACTGATTACGTATGATTCGTTTTGGGACGTAATTAGTGCTATTATTACTCGTTTACTCGGCTTTGTCACGGATACACGAGTACCATGATTTTTTGGATTTTGTTTGGGTTGTTCATAATCGGGTAACCGAAAACTTTGGGTACCGTATTTTACAGATACTATAGAAACAATATATTGTAACTCGGTTATTTCCTAAAAATATGTAAGTAATTAAATTTTCTTTTTTCAATGACTTTTCATCACCCTTAATAAAAAATTCTTAAAATTAAAAAATCAATATCGTTTCATCGTTTGAATCAATATTCATGTATATTATATTTATTATCTCAATAATAAGAATCATTTGTTATTTTTTACTTAATAAGTGATTTTTTTTGTTTTGCTTTTACAAAGCACAAATAAAATGAAAATAATTTAACGTTCCACAAACTACGGGAAAAATCACTTTTTATTAATGAATGAGATAACAAATAAACCGTGAGTCGGCAACCGGGTACCCGAGTATTTCCAGTTACGGGTATTACAAGTAAAAAATCAAGAGCACTGAACGCAAATACATTATCGTCTAATACAATCATTATTCAACATCATACTCTTACATATTTCCCAACACAATTATTATTAAACTACGTTGCACTGTATTTTATTAATTTTGGCATCGCGTCTTGCCGCAGGTGTTCAAATGTCCGCATTGCACTTTCTGGGCGGCCACCGCGTCGCGTTTCCATGTGCACATCGTCGGTCACCTGAACCGCAAGCCGTTCGAGTGCTCGTGCTGTGCTTATCGGTCCAACTGGCGCTGGGACATTACCAAGCATATACGGCTAAAGTCCGCGAGAAAGAGTGGCGGTGAGGAGTCGGCCTTGGCCGCTTACTCGCATCAAGGTGCCAAGGTGTTGATGACGGACGAGACGGGTCGCCGAAACTACAGCAAGTACAACCGATACCTGACCGTCATGGAAATGGACATTACCGACGGCGCGGACAGAGCAGCAGGAGGCGACTGCGAAGACGGCAAGGGCTTGGCCAGCAAGAAATCCGTGGGCGGCGGCATCACCAGAAAACGTCGCACAATGCCTATCATTGGCAAGGTCCAAACCAAAGGGCCGACGCTTAAAGCAGCAACGGGTGCCGGTGGAACAGTAAAAAGGTTCAAAATCGTGCTCAACTCGAACCAGGCGCAGAAGCAGAACAACGCGGCCAAACAGCATCACCCCCCTTTGCAGCCGCCCCCGATCGCCGGTGGTGATAATCGTGGCAAGACCGTGTGGAAATGCAAAAAATGTTTCTTCAGGTGAATATTTTGATCGGAGCACACGCTATATTGGTCGTTTAAATGCGAGGGAAAACATTTACATTTTTTTTTAGTAAAACATATTTAATTTAAACACTACATAAAATATATTCTAATCGAGCTTTGGCTGTATGGTGGAGCATTTTTTTACTGTGGTCATTTTCATACCTACTCACGTGATGTGACGTGACATGATGTAGCGTAATAAGACGTGGACTCACGTGATATGATCATAGTGTGTCTCCAGCTTTAGACGTTTAAAAACAACTGTAGGCTCTCGATTAAAAATTTAAAAAGAAATTTACTGTCGACGTATAATAATATTATTTATGGCATATTTTTAAATATCGACGTTATAGATGTGTAATTTTATGCGATCCAGTGAAAAATTAGATAAGAATGAGCAATTTCAATTTGATAACCTTAAATTTTTGTCAAAACACTAGACGTTGCGATGTGATTATTATCGTTTGCGAAACATTGTAGCGTCGACGTTTTGGGCTGTTTTGATTTTTTTTTCTCGGAAAAAAGATTGTACGATTTGTTTTTCGCAGGGACTGTGATCGACTGACTGTTTTGAATCACGTCAAGCAGCACTACAAAAATGGCGAATTCGGCAATAGGAGTGGGTTCCAACAAAATTCGTCACAACTCAGAGACGCCGACGACGATACAACCTCAAATAATCAAACCAAAGTACGTTAAAAATATGTTGTGGAATTTACATGGTAAAATTAATTCGACAATACGTGTTTTTAACTTAATACTGATCATCGCACGTATATATTATTAATAACTTGCAAAGCGTATAAAATAGAAGTAGTATTGAATTTTTATATGTTCTATAAGTCTAGGTTTTCGGAATAAGATCAAAGAATGAAATTATACCATAATTCCAATAGACACATTTTTCTGTTTGATAACACGTTGTTTTTGAATCGCTAACATGGTATCAAGGTGCAAACATAAAAAATCATTATTGAATAACAAACGAGATCAACAATAATTATAGACAAGCCAACAGTTTATTCTTGACCCATTTTTTTCTTTCTTTATGTGATTAACAGTTTTGGTATAATACTGCTTGTACATAACTTCTCTAAACGTGTGATCCACATTGACTCGACCCAGAGGGTCCTGCTAAGGAGTACTACGAAACATGACGCAGTGACCTCTGCGTATTATGTGTTTGACTTGATTTTATATGAATTGAGAGAGTCGCTTTTATTTCGAATATTAGTAGTTGTTATCGATTTCGATTTCTTGAACGCATCAGTATTACGTCAATCGAGGTGTAAATTCCCGGTTATGATAATTTAGTGGAATTTTAATTGTCAGATTTGATTTATTAGATTGAACTCGGAGTTTCTAATTTTCCTATTGATTCTTGGGATTTATTATCTACTATAATTATTACCGATGTTTTGACTCACTAGCTAGCGTTTATTTCTTGATATAAATAATAATTTATTTCGTTTGCGAAGTACTGGAATATACGTTTAGATCCCAACGCTGCCGCCAAAAATGTTACGATCCGCACTAAAAAAAAAATTAAAAGCACACGTCGAAGCAGTCGACAATGTTTTATTATTTTATTCAATGAACTCGGGCTAGATTTAGGTGTCGTTTAGTCGGTAATACAAAGACTGCTGATCACTTTATTTCGCGTGATCGGGACAAGTGAAATCCTTTAATCGAATATGTATTTATTGTCAACTTATGTATGGTGTATTACTACTAATGTTTCATCGGTATTCACCGAAATTATTTTTGATGAAGCAGGCCATACGGGTTCTGCGCCGGCAATATTCAACGTATTTTCAAAAAGCATATTTATAAGTTATAATTGGTAATGCTTATTTATATTTTATTTTTTGATACATTTATTGCTTTTTAAACATCCTTTTTATATATATTTTATTTAGGTTACCTAGTAATTTAAGTCAATTTTACAAAAATAACTATATTCCAAATTTATTTTATTGATAGTTATAAACAAAGCCAAATTAAGGGGGGATCTAGCCGGGGCGTTAGCCCTGGGGCCCTCTCGAGTACCCAAGTGAAAGGGGCCAAAACAATTTTAAACCGATACACATTTATCATGTTTATCTCACATATGATCGATTCCTTAAATACGGATTCAGGGGGGATCGCCCCCTTCGCCCCTCCTAAAATACGCCTCTGGTTGTATCTATGTTGTCCAGGAATTTCAGTTTCGTTCGTCTTTTGTAATTTTTATGTACATATTTTACGCATTTTAACGCTACGTTCCTACGTTAATTATTTTTGTTCGAATACTATCGTTATCGTGGTTTTTTCTTGGTTTTTTTTCCCACTGCTTTACACGACAGGAAATTACTGCGGTGTATCGCACGCCACCTGGTTTTTGCCCTAACCTCCGCCCGATTTATCAAAACTGAAAACGGAATCTTGGACCGATTTTTCAACGCAACGCGTGTAAGTTGTGCTCCAGATTTATAGATAATTTCTATTCTAACGTACGATCTATAAACCTTCGGTAGTATCATTGATTTTATAATATTTTATAGTCAATGGTAGTGTACTCGCTTACGATAAGAAATATTTTTATTGGGGCTCAAAGTTACTTTAATTATCAACGATACTGTAGAAACTTCTACTAACGCGCTTGGATATAAATTAAGAATTAGATATTAGAATTCAAGATTGTTCAGTGATTATATGCACATTATTTTCCCGCGAAAATACGAAACTATTATATATTCGATTGAAAACGCAATCTTTTATATGATTTTTACTATCGCGATTACGTGCTACATGATTTTGAGTACCTATTTGTTCAACATTATGGTGCATAAATTGTTTTTTTCCTGAATTGATTTACACTAATAAAAATATCGAACAGCTTGTGAACACTGATATATATATAAATATATATGTATTCAAAACTAAAAGAGCCAATTATTGTTTTATAATAGAGTTGAATGCAAATAAAATGTATGTACACGTTTCATTTATTATTTATAATCTATTCAAGTTGTATATTATTCAATTATGTGTGAAAGTCATCTTGTCAGTAGTTATAGATAGTGCATTTTCACCTAAAACTAAATGGTTTGACTTTTATAGATTTAGAAAATATTTTTAGTTGCGCCCAAACAATTATTCTAATTTATGCTATATTGTAGTAATCCAAGACGGCTGTTCGCCATTACTCACCGCTTCTCCCTTCTCATTTGGTTTGTTAAACGTATTCCAATGACGATAATTCGTATATCCAATTGTGTTCATACCAACAATAATGTTTCGGATGTAAATAATATATTGTTGTACAGACATGCAAACTAAGTTGTTTTAGTTTTGTGCACGCATAGAATATGGAAACGTTATTACGATATTTTTGCCACTATCTCTAGACAATAACACGTTTTGCAGTGCTTACAAATACGAATGTCGTTGTCATATCGTTGGTGGCTAAAAAAAGTATGCAATACGCGCGCACGCGTGTGTGTGAGTGTGAGTACTGATCAACGAATATTTTTTTGTGATTAAACGTTGTCATATCGGCGTCTGTGCACTGTTAAATTATTCTTATTTCATCGTAATTGTTTTATTTAGGTGGGAACGAAAAAATTGATAGAATTGAACGAAATTAGTGAACAAAAGATGTCGGTCACTGACTGTCGAAAGACAAAGACGCCTATAACCAGAACATCAGCCGACAAATTATTGCTGTTGTCCACTAACCCGAAATCGTTAATGCTTTATGGTGAGTTATCAACGTCGCGACAAAGAAAAAATGTCATGCAGTCCAGCAGCAACAACACTTTGTCTAATTATGTTACGACGATTTAATACTTTGGACACGCAAAGTTTAAAACCAAATGCAATTCGTACATGCAATTGCTGAATTTCATGGCTTTTTATTTTTCAGATGACGAAAATTTTTTGTCGTGTCCTCTGTGTGACGTAGCTTGTAGCCGGGGTGAACTAAAAGACCATATACAACGTATCCACATTCCCGAGGAAACAAAGTACCGATGCGAATATTGTCCGTTTTGGTCAGAAGAAAAAAAGTAATTTTAATTTCTATTAAAAAATACATAATATTTCAACCCCCGTGTTCCGACTGCAATTTTATTTTTGTGGATATAATGAATGTATATGTTTTTTTTTAATTAAAGCAATGTTGGATCACATGATGTTTGCTCATGAATTTGACGACGGTAGCGTGAATACCGATTTCAATGCTTCAGACATAAATTACCAAATCGGGCAGCGAGATGAATCAAATTCAAATTCAATAATTGAGTACGAAGATAACGACGAAAGGATTGAAGAATGTGGTAGTAGTAACGATACATCAGTTAATATGGAAATGTTTGACAGTGGAAGTGGTGACAATACAACAATGATCTCCAACATGGAAGTGGTGTACGGAACCAATGATGAAAACTTGATTGCTGAAACAGTCGAGTGCAAACTCGGTTTTGACGATAACGATGGAGACACATCAGTAAATACAACGAGTAAGAGTTTTGAGAAAACCCGCTCTGACAACAATGTAAATGACTCAATGGTTACCTGCGAGTACAGTGACGGCGAAGACGACGAACACGCTGAGGATGATGGAATAAATACTAAAGTGAGTGCAGTTTTGATAACAAATATAAATAAATAGGAAGAAATATTTTACCTCGTTTTTCGTCTTTGTATATTTAATAATGTGAAATGTTTTATTTACAGACCAATACCAGTGCAGCCGATCCCGTATCGGAAGACACTAATGATAGTCCAGAGGAAGGCGCAGATCAGTTGTTTGAATGCACCGAGTGTTGGTACTTTTCAAACAATAAGAGAGACATAAACGCGCATAAACAACTGCATGCCAAACGAGGCGCACTGTACAGCTGCACGCAATGCGTGTTCAACGTGACCAAGTCCGCGGTGCTGTACAATCATTACAGGTACGGTCATGTGGTTGAGGAACCCGAGCTTCAGTATCCTGAAGATTCTGTAGTCCGGGCCGGACAAAGGGACATGATTTTGAAGAACTCAGAAAAAGATATGGATGATAAGACGTTTAATGCGGCGGCAGAGGCCGAAAACACCAGCGGCCCACCCATGGTATGGAGTTACAACAAAAGCAGTGTTCCGACTTTCTTTAAAGTTTTCAAGTGCCGATACTGTCCGCATACTAACCGCCGGCGGCACAACACAATTGAACACGAGCGTATGCATTCGGACCATCCAGACCATCAACATCATAGAGAGCAGCAACAGCGCGCTGCGGGTAGCTCAATTACGCAGTCTCCTATGCATCCGTGTAAACGATGCACTTATGTGTGCAATAACGCTGGTGTATTGGCATCGCACACCAAAGTGCACTCAACAAGTTATGGCTGCGCTACGGTAGGCTTTTACGACGGGAGTATTTCAGACTCGGTGCAGTTGCAAGCGCTCGAACATGTCATTAAACTGGAGCAGCAACTGTTGTTGGATAAGGACTATGATGACAATTACGATAATGACAGCCAAGATGATACGAAGTATACAGAGTTTGACGATCCCGAGCTTAAGTTTTGCCCTTACTGTCCCGCTCGATTCTTCTTCCATTTCGACCTTCGATGCCACATTCGATTTCACAAGTCCTATGGCTGGCCACATTCATGCGATTGCTGTTCGTTCACCGCTCGGTCCCAAAACCACGTGAGCTCTCACGAAGTTGTGCACTGCGATGAGTATGCACAACGAACGGAGGAATTACTAAACTCCGGATACCCGGTCAGTCAACAGTTTCCACGGCCTTCAGAATATACAGAATCGGTAACTGACGATTCATTTTCATGTCCTCGACAACGGTCTTGGTCACTGCCTCAATCAGTTAAGAATGATGATAAAACGGATTCACTTGATTCTGACGGTAGACAAAGTCGGCGAATCAAGCGTTTAAGAAATTCTGATATTACTGCTGAACCGTCCTCATCACCCGAAAAACAAGAACTCGCTGAGAAGACCACTAAAAGGCGACGTCGATCTACAGCGATTGACATGACCGCCAATACGACCAATACCAAAACTTCGCCTCATATGCCATTGCCGGTCAAAACAGGTGTTGCAATGAAAACCACCAGTTCTGCTGCCAACAAGACTCTGAACAATACCAAAGCCGTTGCACTCAAAAGTGCTAGTAACTCTGCCACCACAGCTAAGACCAAACTCACAAAATCGAACTACGTTAGGCAATTCATGTGCGACCAATGTCCTGGTCGATTCTTTAAATCCGCAGCATTGCAATACCACAAGACATTGCACGGTGGTCCGGGGCGGCATCATTGCCGGAGATGTAACTATGCCGTCAGCACTTATGGAAATTTAATAAGGCATGAAGCTGTACATCGAGACTTACCTCCCAGAGAAAAAGTGAAATTTGTGACGTCGAAAGTGCCGAAATCAAAGGATACTTCTACGGCTGATAATAGCGCCAGCTCTGCTACAACAACAATGCTGTCACCGCAGGAACTACCACCGTTGGTAACAAATAATACGAACGACAACTATGACGATAGCAATTCGTCAGCTGCAGCCCAAGACGATGAATTTCCACTGGACCCTGAATTTGGTACAATTATGTTAGGTAACCCGGATTTCTACTATCCGACCACTTTGAAAAATGGTGTGGCCCAGCCCAAACGATATAAATGTCCTAAATGTCCTACGGCGTTCGACAAGCGCGATCAATATGCCATGCACCTGACTTTGCACGGAGCTCAAGACAAGTACCGGTGTGATAAGTGCGACTATTCGGTCAAGTATACGGCCAATTTTGTTCAACACCAGCGGAAACACGCGCGTGATGCCGAGATTCGAAAGAATTTCAAGCAGGAGGCTGAACGGTCCAAAATGATTGCAGCCCAGGAAAAAGCGTCCAATGCTCTAAGGGATCGTAGGAGATCAACCACGAATGACCGGCAGTTGGTGACTCTAGAACCTCGGGAAACGAAGTTTCGGAATGAGATATCCGACCGACAAACCGCGTACGAACTGAATGCCGCTTACGGGCCCACATCGATCGTCAAAGACGGATCCGGAGAAACCTTAGCCTTGTACCGGTGTACTCACTGTCCGTACGAGACGGACTTACGTGTTCAGCTGGAGCGACACATCGCGCACCATCAGGACACCAAAAGTGGCCGTAATTCCGTCGATGGTTCGTCGCCCACGGCGACGAAACGCTCGTGGAAGCGCGCATGTCGATTTTGCTCTTACCGCACGTACGGAGAGTCGGACTTGACCGAGCACACTCGCGTGCACTTTTTACGGTCGACTGGTGTGGTGCTGGCTTCGTTGGCCGCAGTGGCCGCCAATGGAAAGGTTAGTGGCAACGACATAATCGACTCTTCCGACCACGTGGAATTCCACGGGAAGCGCATAGTGTACAACAATCGGCGACGTGAAAACGACAGCGAGGAAAAAGATGACGACAACGCCGTGGACAACGATGTAAGCCAGCCGGTTGTTGACGAAGACCCGTTTTTCGTATTTAAAGATCGCGGCACCGACTATGCCATTGGTACAGGAGCGGGCAGCAACAACACAACCACTGGCAAACCTAGTAGGTTCAGCCCGGAAGTTAAGCGGCCCAAGATGCTAATCGATATCAACGACAATCGTACTAGCGGTTGTGCAACAGATAAAACTGAGAAGGAGAAGACCTCATTCGTACGGTTTATTAACGGTGGCAAACGATTAGAACTCCTAGACAACAGAAATGAAGTGGATACCCCTCCTCCTATAGAGATCGAAGTCAAAAAGAAAAAGAGTAAAAAATAGTGGTCAAGGACCCTCAAGGAAAGTCACGGTTTCAATTATCTTACATCCTTTGTTTTTTTTTTCATGTTCTCGCTTACAGATGTTTGTTTTTTCCCCCTTAAGTTAAGTTTAACGACATGATTAGCTCCTTCAGATAATCTATATCTGTCGGAGTTTTTTCATGGCATATGTAGTTATTATTTCTAGATTCACTTTCATTCTTTATTTATTTACTTATGACCACGGTTTTTTTTTTTATTATTACTATTAATTTTTTTTTTTTTTTTTGAAACCCAATTGTTAACCAATTATTATTAATTTACTCTATTGTTAAAATATTAGCTATTGTACGTTCTCGCCGATCCCTGTGTGTGAGCTTTTGAACACACTATTAAATTTCATAATAATGTACGCTCCCCTCCCCACCAATTTATCATTATTATTATTACTATATTAAAGGTGTAAATATATAAAATTGCAATGAAAAATAATATCGCGTATCTACATGCGCGTTTGATTGAATAGTACTCACTTATAATTTATTATTAGTATACTGTAGTAATCGTTGTTATGTAATATTTATCGGTTATCACAGACAATTGTATCGCGTTTGGACCAATATTTTTTATTTATTTATTTATATCGTACCTTTAGAAAGTAAGGACGGCACACTTAAGCCGTTGTAAGTAGTCTATTATTATAATAATATGTTTTGCATTCACATACTCACTGACACGTATATATTAATGTAAACTGTTGTATTTTGACTGTTTTATTTTCTTCTTTTTGTTGATTATACATATGTACTCATTTAGACAATTGCTGGCGGTATTTTCTATGATCACGAGTATTTCGTAAAAGAAAGACTGTTGCTGTACGCGCATTTTTTTTTCTACTGGTTTATCTAATTATATTATGTATGTATTTATTCTATTATTTATGTGACTACGACGAATAAAAGGGAATAAATAAAACATTAATTTGTCCAGAACATTTTTTACACCTAAAATCTTCATTTTGTAGTATATTGTATGATACATATCTTAGAACATCATGATCAACAGTAGATATATCTCTCAGTTAAAATAAGGTTCCTATTTTCCATTGAATGTGCCTTTGGAACAAGTTCAAAATGGGTTATTTTTTTAATCTATCTCAATTTCAGAATATTAAATGAACAAGATTAATGATATATCAGAAGACAAATATCATATTCGAGTATTAAGCTTATCCCGTAACTGATTACTGAAACGATTTGAGCTAATGAATACGTAAAAATTATAACTATAACAACATTTAAATAAAATAAGTTTATTAAATTTTCTTTGTGTTACATTACAGTACATTGGTAAGTTAATATAATCAATAATTTTGTGGGCTTTATATATTATATAATACATTAAATAAAGACATAATAATTGGTATACATTTAATTAAAGGATAGTTTATTATACTTTTTAAAATATATTTTAAATAGCACTCATATATGAGTGCTGTTTGAAATTGTTTCATTAAAAATGTTATGAAAAAATTGTTTACGATTTAATTGAATATTTTCTAACATTTGTTAAAATTTTCTCCTCACTAATAAGTCAAAATAGCGTATGTTAAACATATTCCATTAGATATTAACTAAATATGTGAGTGAAACAATAGCCAAAGAATGTGAATCAGGAAATACAAAGAAATTTATGAAAACGTACAAATAAAAAAAATTTTAAATACTGTAACATTAATGGTCTACTATCTTTAAAATATTGAAATCTTATTTTATTATATATATATATATATATTTACTAACCAATACAGTAAATAAAAATAACTATTATTGTAATATCATTATAATTTATTAGTTTAATGATTTTTGATTTATTTGAACTTAAAATAGAGCGCAGCAGAGTAAATACCATTTGTTTTGTGTGCAACTTTTACTTAAATGTGTTTATCACTTAGGTAATAAAATACCCAATTTGTAAATATTTATAAAACATAAAGGAGGCAAAAGTTAAACTTGGAATAAGAAAATATAATTTATAAAGCTTTGTTTAATTATATTAATAATAAAAAAGATTCCTTCAATATTTTGTTAATTTTAATGTAGATTACAACTTATATTTGTTGTAAAATATTGAAAGTAATTTAATGACCATGTACTGAAATAATCCTAGAATTACTTAACATTAATATTATTTGATTTATTCAACAATATATTTAGTATTTTCATTGGAATTGTATTTTATTAATTTTCTAATTATGATGATATCTAATAAAATGTCTTTCTTTAAATAACTTGATATGAACAATGAATATATACTTTAAATACTTCACATACTTTTTTACTTCAATACACAATACTTATTTGTTTTTTAGTTGTTGAAACAGCATGGATTAAACCTAATTACATAATATATTTGTTATATATTAATAACTAATTCTTATAATTATTATTGATATTATATAATGTTGATTAATAAGCATTAAAAAAAATTAAATGTAAGTATATATACTATTCTATAAATTAATTTTTTTTTTTTTAAATTCCAAGCTCTTATTGATGTAAAATGAATCATATATGAGTAAAAATATACTGTATAAAAAGGATTAATCAAAATTTAATAACAATATTCAGAATTCATAAAAATTAATAACATAGTGATTTGGGTTAGTAAACAAAATAAATTATAAGAATTGGTGTGTTATAAAAAAGCTTCGAAAATAAGTCTATTTTGTAAATCTAAAAAATGTATATAACCATTTATTTATTTATAGATAAATCAAATATTATGTTTATCTCCAAGTTGTTTTAACAATGCTAGTTTAAAAGAATTAATTAAAGAATAAAGAAACAGTAAGATATTTAATGTTAATAATAATTTATTTTGATTCAATAGTGATCTTATTTAATACAATATAATCTCATATTTATAGAATCATAAGAAGTGTAGATATCATGAAAATTACCATATAATCGAAAATATTATTTAAATTAAACATTTTAAGAATATAATAGGAAAAACATTTAAAGAGAGAACATGATCATAATATTACAAAAAAATTACAAATTAGTTGTGATCCCAAACTAAATTTAAGATTAAAATAGTTAAATACTAAGCTAAACTAATTTAACATGAATATAAAGACATTTGAAAAATATGCAATGAATGAAAATTATGTGAATGTTAATAAATATTTTTGATTTTCATAAAAAGTAGTGAAGTTTAACTAGATCATTCTCAATGTAACTGCCGATGCTTTTAAGATGTAAAAAAAAAAAATTAAAATTTCCTACATTAAAACAACATATAAGTTACTAAAAAAAAGTGTCAGTAGATATTTAAAATTATTTTACATTATAAAAATAAAGTTAAATAACAATATTATACACACATAAAATACAATAAAAAAATAAAAATATTCAAAATAATTCTTAAACAATCGTAATTAAAATTAAAGTAAAACTACATTTAAACATTATATATAGTATCCATAAATAATTCATTAAGAAAAAAAAAATAGTAAAAATCAAAATAGAACTCATTTGTTCTAACCTTATTTCAATAGCAATTCATAATATATTATTTCATTAGAATTAAAAATATATTAAATTAATCATAAATATTCATTTTATCATTACAGTCACCAAATTTGTGTATAGTATCCTCATATTTTGGCATAGCTCTTTTCGTCATTATTCTTTAATAAAAACAGCCATTTTTTTTACGTATTCGATTCATAGCATGTTTATGACGTGATTCATAAAGATATTTCTGAAATAAGTATACAATAAAATTACTCTACTTGATATTTGATATCAATAATATAATTATACTTTTCTGGTTTTTGGTATTCTTCCAAGAGCTATTAATTTTGCTCTTTGTTGTCTTCTTATAAGTATTCTATAATATTGCTTATGATTTACAAAAATTACATCATTGAAAACAGTAGGTGGTATAACTAGTTGAGGTTGAATTTGATTATTATTTGTGTTTAGACTAATTGATCTCATCTTAAAATAAATTAAAATCATTATATTAAATAACAATTGATCTAAGCAAAATCAATTTAATATCTTACAGCCATGGTATTTTGTGGATTTTTAGGAGGAAGACATTGTGCAGGAATAAAATTTGTTTGAAAAACATTTGGTACACAAACATTTGTTTGAACAATATTTGGTTGAACAACATTTGGTTGAACATTAAGTAAAACAAAAGTATTAACAGTAGTAGGTGGTTGGATAACTGTAGGATTATTTATCATCACATTTTCATTTGAATTAATTTCTATAATTGTATTAATAATATTTAATATAACATAGATAAATATTTTTAAAACAATACCTACTCATTAGTTGAATGTTTTGAGGTTGAACAACTTGCTGCATAACAATTTGATTGTTATTTGTTGGATGTAATTTATTTGTACATAACTGATTAGAGAGCAATTTAACCGTTTGGTCTGGAATCAACTATTCATTAGCAAAAATACAATTATTATTAGCTATTACACGTGTATAAAATATTATTTGTAAAATACTTGTATAGAGAAATAATAACGATAATAACTTTTATATAACTATTAATTTATTAATTTATTAAATATAATAACTATTAAGTATTTTGAAGGACTTATAACTTCTTATGCTGACGATACATGCCTACTTTTCGCAGGTAACACATGGGTTGATGTGCGTATTAAAGCTACGTATTAAAGGGTTTAAAAGAGTAGTCGATTTTCTTAACCATAGAAAACTATCGATAAATTATGATAAGATGATGTTTATGAACCTTATAATTAATGATAGAGAGGAAAACTTTGATACATTAAAAATTCATGTCTGTGATAATAATAACTCATGTAAAGAAATAAAATGTAAAACGCTATTATGAGTCTCTAGTATTCGTTATCTGGGTCTAATTTATGATAAGAATTTAAGATGGAATCTGCACGTAAACAATTTATTAATGCGTTTACATATTATAAGTTATAACTTTTATAAATTACGAGTGGTAGTACCAATACATGTTGTTCGAACAATATATCTAGCATTATATCAAGCATTATTGCAATACGGTCTACTTATTTGGGGAGGCCTTTCTGCTAATGCTTTAAAACCTTTATCAATTCAACAAAGACAAATTATTCGAATATGTCTGCAGAAACCTACTCTTGAAGGTTCAACAAGACAAAACTTTAAATTATTAAATGCGTTACCTGTGGATTTACTATTTAACAAAATTGCCATTTTATGGGTTGGTAAAAACATAGATAGTTGGATAACTAAAAATAATGGAAAAACAAAAAGGGAACATCTAGCATACGATGTTAAAGTGATATATTTTAAAAAATCTTTTGGTCAAAAATTCGTTGACTACCTTGGTCCTACTTATTTTAATTCCATGTCAAATATTATTAAGAAGAATATAATAAATAAACATAAAAATGTCAAAAAAACTGTTAATGACTGGCTAATATTGTCAATGGGGTAGTTATACAATATGTTTTACTCTATTTTAAGTATTATTCTTTTGTTTGTATTTATATTATTTAATTACTATCTGTAAGTAATTTGTTGCTCTTTACTTTCAACACAAGCATTGCTTTTAGAAGGTAGATAATCTATAAGTTTATTATGTAATTTTTATATTTATGTAATAAATGGATTCTATTAAAAAAAATAAAAAATAAAGATAAATAAACACTAATAAATATTATGATATAATATAATATATATTATAGATACATAATATAGATTTCACTCTAAGACCTTGGGCATGCTGTGGGATTAAAAACAAAAAATATCTCATAAACTTGTGAAATACACAGGTAAGCAAACAAAAATTCACCATAAATTACTATTGATGTAAGTACAACATTAAAAATTTAACTTTTGTTCAAAAATAAAAAATTTAAATATTTTTTACGTTGTTAAAATAATTTTAAGTTAAAACTTTTAAACAGATTTTAATTGAAATATTATTTGAATAACAATAAATAATAATATATTTTATTATTTTAACTAGTTTATTAGTTTTGACATTTAATTGGTAAAAATTTAAAATTATATTCAACCATTTCCAGTTTAATTTTAATTTTTTTTTTTTTTTGCTTTGACCATTCATTACTTTTGTAGCACAAAATATATATTATATTTACTTATATTTAGACATGATAAGACTGGTTTATATATCAATGATTGACATTAGTTGTATTTTTATATTCTAGAATAAAAAGATAGTAACATTTTATTGAAACAACAAATTTGTTACCTACCTCATGTAATCAAACTCATACAATAATGATTGTAACATTTTTCAATAAAATAATGTCCCTACTGTTGCATGCTGTAATTTCAATGGTTTTTGTGTTGGAAAAATAGGGAAGAGTGTTTCAAATATAACTGAACTTTAATTTACTATTAATTATAAAATAATATTTATTGTAAATTATTGTAAAAAAAATAGTCCAAACATTAATAGTGATTTTAAATAATTCTTAAGTAAAAAACATTAATTTATTAGTATAAACTGACATGAAGGTGCTTGTTATGATTGGACTAAAACACATCTGAATATGGGTCTGTCCGGAACCCCCTTATATACCTCGATCTCGCGAGAATTCCTTGTCGTTCTTTCTCTTATCACTGTTAACACAGTATTTGGCTAATGATATTCAATTCTATGTATGGAGTTGTCCAAAATGTAATTTGTATCTTCATATTACTGCGCACCCAATTATTTATTATATATATATATATATATATATATCCTAATTATTTTATATTGTGTACTCATATACATCCTAATATAATACTTTTCCATGTGCTTATATGATATCCCATGTAATTGTAATAGTAAGGGCATACATTTATGTACGTCCGTAACACTACATAAGTCAAATTGAGGGTGCTAATAATGAACTCTAAACTGTTAAGAATTTCAAAGCACTCTCACTAAATACACCAATGGTACATTCATTTACCGATGTCTGATATCATCTCAGTTGCTTGACCAATGAATTCAATTATATTTGATTGCTATTTTGAGGAGATTGAAGAAATTGATGATTTCTTACTATTTTTACCTGAATGTTGGACTGCTGGACTGTTTGAACATTGTACATGCCATTGTTATTGCTAATAAGTTTTATTTCTATCTGAAAATATCAAATAATCCAATTATTGTCAGATTTATAACATTTTTACTATATGTTTAAAAACCAATATTAATAGTTAATTAATTGTGAACAGTTATAAGGTATAACCTATTATTTTTCTTTGTATGATTTATTAAATTAATTTGGGCATAATTAATATTTAACATGTACCTATAATGGAAGAGAGTTCAAACGTTTAATATAAATTTTGTTTTAATTAATAATTATAAGCCAATGACCATCAATATATACTTTACTTGCTTGTTTCTTTTGGATTCTAATAGAATAAAAGTATTCAAATAATCATATGGACATTATCATAGGCGTGCACAGAGCTTCAAGTCTGGGACAGCAAATATCTTTACAGCCCAATTTTTTCATACTAATGGCCTATACATGACTAGTATACTGTAGAATCCAGTAGTGACTGTTTTTTTATAACATATAACCAATTTAAACATAGTAAAAATTAATTTGGTAATTAAACACACTTTTCGGATAACCAACTTATATTGAGCATTATACGGTGACCAGCTTGAACTGTTTAGCCCTAACAAATGTATTTAAACCATTCAAGGGCAGCAAGAGTACACCCTGCTGCCCCTGTGTGCACTCCTATGGATATTATAGCATATAATATAATAGGATTCCGATTAATATGTATTAAAAAAAACCTAAATATGTAAATATATATGTAATAACAAATTGCTTTATATGTGTAAAAAATTAAAATATAGAATATAAAAAAATTTAAAAGAACATTACTGACAAAAAAAAAATTCAAATCGCAAAATTTCAATTGCTTTATAAATAAAAAAATTAAGACATTAGATTTGAAAATTATTATGAAATTGAACCTTATTCATCTTGATCTTGATAGCGATGAGATACCATATACATGCTCAAATTGTCAAAGTTAAATGATCTATGGTTTGGTCATAACACAAATTTGTACTGACTAAAGGAACGTTTCAACAACTTCAACAAAGGTAATGGGTGCAAATTAAATATTTCCCATGTCCAAAGAAGTGAGTTCAGTCTGCAATAATTTATTTCACAATGTACATTTCTAATTAATTTTATGCAGTTTACACCAGGATTTTTGTTTAATACACTATATATATATATTTTTTTTTGACTGAAACTCCAATGTTCCTTGTTCTTTGCATATTACAGCTTCTTCTATGAGTCCTAAACTTTGACTAAAGTAATTTTCCTTGTCAGACATATCGAAATATAGAACATATATCGACCAAAGATTAAGTTCAATAAATGGTATTATTTTGTATACGTATTTTTGGAAACAAGGGAAATTGTCTGTATTGAATTATTAATAAACCATAAATGGACAAATGATCGAAATATGTAGGAAAATATGGAATTATTGAGAAATTTGTAAAAATAAGTAAAATAAAATATAGTTAATTTCATTGGAAATCGCTTGAAACAAATTTAACACTTACCTTAAACATTTTGTCAAGTATAAATATGTATAATATATATAAATCCAAGCTCTAATAATAGCTATGTATGCTAGTTTCTATCGATAAACTTGGGATATTAAACAAAACATAATAAGATGAAATTAATGACTTGAAATGTTTGCATTTTTTTGTTTCAATTACCATGTACTTATTGAAAGAAATGATTTGTATTTTTATAAGTCAACAACTATATTTATAAAAATACCTGTGAAAAACAAGCAGCAGAGAGACATGTGATGGTAACAGATGTCATTGATCCACAGATTAATTTGTGATTGTACGTTATACTGTACCGAGATACATGAAACATTGCAATAATAAAACACGAATGACATCAACAAATAATATCGCGAACGGTAACGAAGTGTGCGAACAACAGACATTTTAGAAAATAACTAATAATCTAACTTAATAACCGGTGAAATACTGTAACAGCGACATTGATTGTCTTAACATAATTTTACAATAAAAAATGTGATGTAATACAACCATAGCAAAGAAAAGTTAACTGCAGTTTTCCGTTTCAAATAAACGTTATAACAACTATCACGATTAGCGGACAATAACATATATGTATATAATTAGCTATATAGGGTAATAGATAAACGTATGCGGACCGTGTTCAATCACGCGCGTCCGTAGCGATAATGTCAACGGTCGTCGCGGAACAGGTACCTACATTAAACAGATACGTGGGTCGGTGACTTCAATGCGATTCATCCGTCGCACCGGTGCACGATTACACGATAACACGCAGAGCGTTCACAAATTTTAAACGTCGACTTACCATTATGAAAAACGAGTGGTTCACCGTCGAAAATCGTGATTTTGTAAAACGTTTTGTTCGATTGCCGTGTCAATTGACGATACCACGGGAGCACGCGCCGAATGTCAAAGGCGGAACGAAACAGGCAGCTGGCAAGAAACAGGTAGTGGGTGTCGCTCGCGCCGAACTAACCTGTCTAACCGGTGTGTGTTGTGATAGGCCGACGCACATCTGCGGCTACCAATCGCCATGTCTGGCAACAGAAATATTATTTAAAATAAAATACAATAAATAAGTAAAATAGTGTCGGGTTATGTTGGTTATGGTCATCAACCGAATTACGGTAATGGTTTTTCTATACCACAATTGTTGGTTCTAAACCCCGCGAATTCGAACACTCGTATCGGTTATTCTTTTATTTTAACGGTTTACTTTAATTTTGATGTTGTTCGTACATTTTTACACGTTGTTTTACATAAGTCTTACGCTAGCTAGAACAAATTTGGATAAACCACTTTCATCTGTTTCCACCACATTAATGGTTCCGATTTCCGATCTAGCAAGGGATCATTTAAATATCTGTCCATTTCAATAATTGATTTAGATTTTGGAGTGCTGATTATAGTAGCTGCAGGGGCCTGTGGAAAATCGATTATTATTTAAAAACAAATAAAGCTATGTAGTTACTAAAATAATATATATAAAAAAAAAAAAAAAAAATCAAACTTGTAAGTCGAAGTCTTTCCAAATATTAAATTGTTTTTTTTCATTTGAATTTTCTTGAACGGCATTTACTTCGTTTACCGACAAATTATGTTTTTCCAATTGAATAATTGTTGTAAAACTTTGAAATATTTTCTGATATGTACAATGTACATAGTACATTCATATGATTTTGTATTACCAAAACCTTTTTTTTTGAACCTTGGATCTTAGATTGTTGCTTCTATCAGTAATCGTTGTTCTTCGATCCCTTCAGATCGTTTTTCTGTTTTTTTTTTCCATAGTTGAAAGCATAGAGTATATGACAGATGGTAAATTGGCTTATTTTTTTTCTTTTTTACATGAGAAAATAATACATTGCATAGGATAATGACTTTTGAAATAGATATTCCTTTTTCAGAACTAAGCTCTACAGTCATTTCTTCGAATGGCTTAAAAATACTACAATAATTATATCAAAATCAGATGATAAAATTTCAACTCTACCAATAAATGCTATTGTAGATATTAAATGATCTTTAATATCTATACACCTTTATATCGTATGTACTGTTCCAAAGGGTAGCAACATCCTGAATTAATTTAAATAAAGGTCGACCCATTTGCATTTGGGTTTATTTAATTTAATGTAAAATTTTGTTGATCGTTTAAATAATTCTGCAAAACTTTTAATTTTTTTGTGAACATTTTGTATATCTAATATCCCACTTTGGGCAATTAAATGTATAGCATATGACGCTACTTTGAATTTAAACTAATTGCACTTGTAATATTAACCGCGTTATCACTAACAGCGATTTTTATTTTTTCGGATATTTCCCCCTTGTCGAGTAAACTCATATTTTAATTAATTAAATTAAATTAAATCAATATTCATAAATTCAGACAAATTAATTGTAGTATGGACTTGTTCGAAATTATAGCATCCAAATAAATATGACTTTAAAACACATTGTATACTGTTTATAAAATGAACTGTAATAGCGACGAAACTATCGTTGTTCATAGATTTCCAGCCGTCTGTAGTAAATACTATGTATTTATCATCATTTAAATTAGTCTTTACTTTTTGTTTGGATTTTTCTAGTAATTGTGGTATGATGGACTTTAAAACGGGTTTTCTAGAAGAAATTGAGTAGTTCGGATTTAGTATATTTATAAACTTTCTACTCGTAAATTCAATGTTTTCAACAACACTAAATAGTTGAAATTCTTTAGCTATCATGATTCCTAACTTCTCGTAAATTGTTTGCGATTTATCAAATTTTAAAAGTCAAAATTGAAGATGCCGATAGTTGATTTTGTGTATCAGAAGTATTTTGCTGGATAAAAACTGTATTAGGGTCATAAATATTTTCCCCTAGATCAAGATTGTCAGTTTTTTCAGTATAAATTTTTCATTATATTATATTGTATATTATGTTTCTTTTTAAAAACCTACTAAGGTTTGCGGTTGAACCACTTTATAAGAGTAGGAAACCGAACAGTATTTGCATTTTGCTGTATCGTTACTCGCTGCAGTAAAATTATACAAAATATCGTTAGTTTTCATACTCATTATTAACAATTAATAAAAGTACAATTAAATAATTGCCATAAAATATTTCAAACGAACTGCGAGTTGCGACTAGCTGATAAACGAACCATAGAGTAAATGATTTGATAATATTAAAATTATTCATTATTATTTATTCAATCAGGCTATTTTTAAATTTTCATAGTCCCATTCTTATAAATAGGTAATATACATTCGTAGTGGTACGTAACTTAAATCTCGAAGAAGCTTTATTGATAATTCAATCACAGTCTAAGATCTACCGAAACAACACAGAATACGAAAATGGAGAGAAGAGCTGCAATGTGAAAAACCTGTCCCGCTTGCGAGCATTTACCATGTGGAGGAAACCAATCATGGATTATATGGAAGTTATTAAATAGGTTATGAACTAGAGTACCAAAAGTAAAAACAAACATGATAAAATGGCTATACCAGAAAGAACCGGACATAGGTACTTTTCGAATGTGGTGAAGACCAATCAGATGACCACTGTGATTACACTTATTACATACATTTTTCGAGAAATTTTGGTCTTAATTTAAACAATTTAGTAGGATAAAGATATGATGATTGTAGTGCTATGTTAGGTATTCATAATGGTGTCCAAGCAATTATTAAAAATTAATTTTCTAAAGCTGTATTTGTACGCTGTTTATCACATAGACTAAATTTAGTATTTAAGTTATTTCCAAATGATTTGGTAATTGTTATAGTTCTTTATTATTATTTTATCTATCTCAGAAAATTACAATGTTAAAGAATTTAGTGATTATTTAGTTGATAATTATATTTCTGACGAAGGATCTCATATTTGGGCTTCAGATAAGATTTCTAGTCAAAAAATTACTAATGCATGCGAGTCTTTCCATGCAAAGTTCAATAAATCATTTTCATCACCATATCCAAATATATTTGTATTTATTGATGTTTTAACACAATTAGAAATCGATACCAATAGTTTAATGCAGAACACTGTCACAAGATCATCAACAACACGGTACCAGAAAAAAAAAATAATATTCAAAAATATATTGACTTATATACTCAGAAGCGTATTAGAATTTTTAAATACAGCTAGTCATTACTACAAAAAATAATCGAAATGACAAAAAAAGAATTATAATAATGACGATAGTTAAAATTGACAATTAAAAAAAAAAAAAAAAATGTATAATAATAATAATAATAATATGTATAATATAATATAATATAACAATTATAATGTAAATATATATAATTAACATAATGTGATGTATAAAACAATCATTTTTAACCACGCCAATGATTACTTAATGATACTAAATGTAACTAAATAAAATAATTCTAACCCCTTCAAATGCATGATAATTTTATTGAAATACTTTTTTGAGCCCAAGTACAATTCGACTTCTAATCTGCTTTTTACCCGACTGCAGTTCGACCATTACCTTTTTTAAACCCAAGTGCAATTTGACTAAAATAAGTGCAATTCGACCATACCCTTGTTATCGTATTTTTCACATTTTATTAAATACGATACCTTATCTTATCTTATTTACAATTATATATATTTAAAAATTATATAATAATATGACCTTTTTTTTTTTACATTTTGGCTCTTCCATATGTATTAATTTATTTGGTGGCTCGCGAGTCTCTTTTTGCTGGTCACCCCTGGAATAAACACTTAAACTACTAATCGATTTGTTTACAATTTTAGTATTTATTGCCTTGGTTTTTACCAAGAAACCGTAAAGGATGACGATAATAATTATTGTTGTCTAAAACTATAAATTATCTTTAATAGTTTGTTTTTAACTTCATTAATAATTATTATTGGTAATATTAATATTTATAGTTTATATGTCATACATTATTAAACGTTAATAATTTACGATGTCAATATCATAGATAATATTTAATATTATATAATATTATGATTCTATAAAAAGAAATATTTTATGTTACATTGTAATAATTACAAATTTTTAATATTCAAAAATATTACAAACTACCAAAAAATATGAGGGCCGCTCAAAATTAGAACCGGGTGACTAATTATCCAGGTACCCCTCTAAATCGAGCACTGCTTATAACTATGTTACTCTGAATTTATTTTCTTTGTCCATACGAGTTGGTAATGAGACACCGCCATACGCCTGCCATCGAACATCACTGGCCTATATCGAATATTTTTCCTTTGATATTTTGATTCAGCGTTGCATCAACTGACATGAAACCATAGAGATACATCTCATTCGCCATTTATTTTTAATCGATATTGCAACGTCGTCAGTCTTCAAATATGTATCCATGTCAACTGTCAAAATTTAATCCGTAGTATAGGAATTCAATATTCTTTATACATAAACCGTTCATCTGCGTATTGAGTGGCTACGTGTGTTTCAACTGAGTAAATAATAACGGTAAAATAATAAAAACATGAATAACAACGACAAACTTGACGACCTGGATCATGAATACTCCAGGTCCGAGGTAATAAACATTGGTATCTGACTTCTACGAATATTTTACACAGGACGTTATTTTGCACTTATCGTTTACTATTTTTGGACTATAACGTCGTGCATATACATCCTCCTTTTGCGATAGTTAATATTTCTAAAATGCTCGTGTTCACTGATACTTAATTTAGATTTTTTTGAAATCTAGAAAAACTGTGTCTATAATCTTCTTTTTTTTATAAAATCCAACTCTGTTAATGAACAATTATAAAATTATTCTTAATATGTTGAAAATTTTTTTTACCAAACATATTAATTATATGCTATTAACAGTGCTGTGATCCAACTACTCGAGGCCCGTGTGCAAATCAAAATCTTGAGGCCCCTCATTGTTATACATTTTTTGAGCATTCGACCTTTTGAGGCCTCATAATATAATACAAGTCTCCTGGGGTCTGTATGCAATGCATACTCGGCACACCTGGTTTTTATGGCACCGGATAATACATTTATAAACTATGAATCTAGGATAAAAAATTTTAATTTATAATTCATTTTTAATTTATGTTTATGATTAGATTTTTAGTGTATATAACATGGTGTATTGATAATAATTATTATAATTATTTAAATTGTAATGATATAGGTACCTAACTTTATTTCATATCATTTTATTATAGTGTTATTGCAAGTTACTAATTAATATTTTATTTTATGCATTAAATCAGGAACTTTTTAAATATGACGATACATTTTTTTGTAATGATATTCTATCTGCGACTGATGATTTTTTCTGGACAAAAAAAGCCAATTGGAGACTATCAAAAAATAGATTTTTTAATGATCAATGATTCAAAAAGAATAATACGAAATCGGAACCAATTATATGTTGGTAATTTGACTAGGGTAAAGAAAATACATACTTGAATATCAAATTTTTTGTTATTTTTAAAGTTATAATATATTCTTTTATTTATTATTTAGATATAATAATAGATATAATAATACATTTTTTACAGTGGACAACTGATGAAGATATATCAGACTGTATAATTAGTATAGGTGTTTCAGATTTAATTGATGTTACATTTTTTGAAAACTATGAAAGTGGTCAATCAAAAGGTTTTTGTATAATAACATTGCAATCAGAGCACAGTGTGAAATTAATCCTAAATAAACTACCTAACAAAAAGTTATATGGAAAATCGCCTATTGTTACTTACGTGACGTTTGAAGCTTATTTATTTGTAACATTTTTTTTTATATACTGCAATACTAAGATTTATTTTCTAATTTCCTAAAATGTATACTGTTTTAGTTTCAAACAAAATCTAACACTCAGCCAATGCCTTCACTGCTAATTAATCAGAATATACCTGACATTTCTAATAGAGTTATGCAAGAATCTGTATCTGAAAATCCATTATTATTAATGCAAGAACAAAGTACATCCATACTAATGAAAGATATGCAGCTAAATAGTTCAGAAAATTCTTATAATCAAGGATTGCCTCGTTCAAGTGATCGATACCTATTAAACAGATTAAATCTCTCTATAAGTAATTACTTAAAGTAATTTTTTAATTATTTTTTAAATATTTTTAATTATTTTGCTGCTTTATTTAAAACATTTAGATGCCTATAAACAAGGTTTGCACAAAAAATTTCAAGCAATGGTAATTTTTAAAATCATTATTAAATATACTTATATACATTTTTTTTTTATATAAATAACAGTTTTAATATTTGTACAGCCTTTGTCAAGACACGATTTACTAAGTTTTGATGTAGGGAATCATTCTTCTAACTTAGCTTACACTCAAGATATATCAATTCAAGGTACGTTTTGTTATTTATATAGCTTATTTGTGTGCGCAACATGTATGAACAGAGCCGGATTAAAGAGGTGGCAAGAGGGACATCTGCCCCGGGTGCAAGATCTTAAATGTACTAAGTTTTGAAATAATATAGGTTATATTTAGAATAAAATAACTATTTGCGAAAAAGTTCTTAATTTTAAGAAGGTTTGCCCCGGGGTGCGATATGTCTTAATCTGGCCCTGTGTTTGAATTATTAGGCACGTAAATAAGTACTCATTACGACGGGGGGGGATGAACCTTCTGTTGGGGTTTAAAAATTTGCAATTAAGAGGTAACATACCGTACATCTTTATTCGTGGTTTACGATTTTTGGAGAGATCTCTTCTACCCCCCCCCCCTAAATTACGTGGCTGTGTATAGTATGTTAAAGTCATATAAATCCAAACTTTCACAGTTCAGAATTTATGTAGCCAACTATACATTTATTTAAAACTAGTTCGTATAAAGTAAAATGTAACAATTGAAAAATAAGTAAAAATTTAAATACTTATTAAATGTACTTTTAATTATAGTGACCATCATTGTTATTATAAAAGCTATTAAAATTTTATAGTCAGAGTAACAAAGAAAATGCATAATAAAAATTTGATATTTGCGGTTTCATTAAAATATATTACTTTTTAATTTTGTATTTGACTAAATTATGACAGCCTTGAGAATTGCATTTTATTTTTTATCAATTAATTTATTATTATTATATTTTGAAAATAATTTTTTTTTAATTGTAATAAAAACACATTCATTTTGAATAATAACGTTATTTCAAGTTGTGTGTCTCCTATCCAACTATTATATTATATTGACTATTTACTGAAATCTTTTAAAAATATATATTTAAGAAAAAGTATTTTTGAATAAACATTAGTTCTGTCAATCTATATTATTTTAATATGGTTAATTTATTTTAGTCTGCACAAAATAGTTGTATATTTCGCTAAGTATACAATTTAATTTGTTCAATTTATTGTAATTTTTTTTTTATAATTAATCACAAATAAACTATAATTTAAAACCTTAGGCCAACAGTTACCAAAGTATGCAACAAGCTTCTCTAATACACCTTCATCGGTAACTTGTAAACACAACGAAATGGAAATTTCACCACAAAAATTTAATGAAATTATAAGAAGAAATAGAATCATATCTAGTTCCGCAATAGCACGTGCTATTACAAATTCTGAAAATGGAGAATTTTCTGATGCTATGGAAACTTTAATTACAGCAATAAAGTTAATTAAAGAATCTAAAATTGCTAATCATGAAAGCAGTAATATAATAGTGAGGTCTTTACAAGATGTATTACATATAATCGAAATTAAAAAATTATAACTCAAGAAAAGGTAATTTAAAAATATTAAATATTCAGTGTAGTATAATTAAAATACATTTTTATTTTTCTAGAAAAGTCGGTTAGGAAAAAAAAATTAAATAGACAATTAAAACAAAAATGATTCTGTGTATATGCTTATAAAAATGTAAGTAATCTAGTTTTAATATATAATTTTGTTATTATTTCTAATTTATTAATATCTCTAATGATAATGTGTGAATTTGATTGACCATATAAACATGCCAAAATAATTATGAGTATGCTTATTTTCTATTATTTATTCAACAATTAAAAAAATAACACAGTAATTTGATTATTAGATGCATAGAAATATAAGATTTGGGTGTAATATCTATATCAGTGGTCCTCAACCTTTTTTTTGTTCACGGCACACCATTATACATCACAAGTTTTCGCGGCACACTGATGCACTTGACAACAACCACAATTTTGGCTAAACGCTAAGATATCTAGTTGGGTTAAAACCGTACAGTTTACCTACATATGTATCTGCACAATTAATTGACATTTAACTGTCATAGTTTCATTAGTCGGTATTTTCAAATATCAGACATTTTTCACGGCACACCTAGTCGATCCCGCGGCATACTGGTTGAGAACCACTGATCTATATTATTATGAAAATAATACGATTATAATGTATGAACTATAATAAAGATCCACTCAAAATTTTAAAAAGTTCTTGTCTTCTAAACTTTTATTCAGCTGTTGAAGATACCAAAATTTATAACTTTATAAAAGAAAGCTACTAAAATAAATAATATAAATAAATGCTTCACCCATGATAATGTATTTTAATTTAAAAAAATTTAATAACGATAGTAAAAAAATTGATTAGATGTTTTATTTCCCTTTTAGAGTAACCAATTGAGTTTTGCTGGAAAAAAAAATAACTGTATACAAGCTTGTTTTTTTTAATTATTTTTCTTTTTGTATTTGTATTGTTATAGATACTATGTAGTGATTATCACCGTGAATATATGGTGATGTACGATGAAAAATAATTTTTAATAGGAAAATAATAAAGACGAACGAAAAAATTAGATTAAGATAACAGAGAAAAAAGCTTTATGTTAACACTTTTGATTTTAAATTATTAATATCTAATTATTACACTTTTGAATTCCAATATATATATGTGTGTATGTATATATATATATATCTATATATATATATATATATATATATATATATATATATACCTATATAAATAAATGTTTATTATTATACATGCATTATGTATATCTATTCTTCATTAAAAACTTGTTTAAAATCTATTAACACATAAATGTTGAATTATTTTACTAGTGATGTAATTGCGAAATAAATGGTATATTGACACGGCAATTAACCTGCATCATAGCGGGACCACGTCAATATGTTAAACCTCATGCGATTTATGGGCTACATTCTTGACATGTCAATTTTTGGTATGGGTTTGTGAGTTAAAATGAAAAAAAATGTAAGCTATAGGCATGTAAATCATAAAGAATCGTAAATCATCATGTAAACTAAATAATTATTGAGAAATTAAGAAGTAGGTGCCTACGCATAGACCAGGATTAAATCATTTGGGCGCCCAAGATACTGTTCTTTACCATCTAAAGAACAGTTGTCAAACATTATTCGACTGTATAGGATATATAAATTATAAAGCAGTGTGATTTAATATTATATTATACGTAAATAAATATTAAATTAACAATAATTAAAAAAAAAAAAAAAATGTCGATCAATTTTTAAATTTTTCGATTAAAATTCAATTATTACTAAAAATTAGTGATGAGATAAAATAGCAGTAGCAGTGATTTTAAAGTAGCAATCACAGCCTGGTACTCCAGTATGAAAATAACAGTGACTGCTACTTTTGTTACTATTATAAATTATTAGTTGGTAACATTGTAAATATAATATATATTTTCTGTTATCGCTAGTCCTAATATCGGGTATCGGTATCGACCCAGCTCTAGATATTATCATTGATTATAGAAACTATTATTTATAGATTATAGATTTTTTTCCCCCAAATTGTACATAATTAGTACTTTAAGACTATTACTATTAACAAAATAGCATCCATCATAAAAAAATCCTGGATCTGCCACTGCTTATAATCATTTTATTATTTTAATATATGGGTCATATACCTAGTAGCAGTCACTATTTTTCAGTAGCAATTACTTGAAATAACAATACTTGACAAGTAGCAGTTATTTAGTACAATAATACCTGACAAGTAGCCGTTATTTGGAATAACGATATCTAACAAGTAGCAGTTATTTAATATAGTGATTCTAAAATAAAAATTATCGATAAGTAGCAGTCTAAAAATGTCACGGTTCCCCGATTGTTCGTAATCCTTATGTACAGTATAGCCTTATAGAGCCAGTGCGGTAACACGACCAAAGGTTTTACACCGCGAATTCTTCGAATAATAATTTTATTTCTTTTTTTTCTATTCCTATCCCCCCCTCCCATAACTACAGTGAGAAAAATGTCCTTTCTGATACGCGAGCGTCATGCAACATCTGCGACCGGGCAATTTCTCTCGGATAACTAATCAATAATCAGTGTTCAGAGATGACGAATCACAGTAGGTACACATCACACTTTTCGCAGTTTCATCTCGCTGTCCACGCGCGCGCAACGCGATCACTGCGAATCGCCGGGGTGGGGTCGTAGGTGGCCCGTGCGGTGCGCGACCCTTGTTAATCCGCCCGTTGAGGCTGCGAATTGTTACGGTTTTGTATTTTTCCCAGTTTCGGCGATGGCGCGTTGACACCAACCCTTCGACGTTGGCGACAATCACAGTCGATCGATTCGGCTCCGTCTCGCTCGTCGCTGCAGACCGCGTCCCCGTGCTCGTCGCCAGTGCCGTAGGACCGTAACGACATAGAACGCGCGATCGACGAGTTGGTTTTCGGGACTCGCTGAACGACGGCGGCGTCCATGATAAGAGCGCCGAGTTGATGTGCGCGCGTTGAACGTGACCGTTAACGTTTTATCATTATTTTTTTTTTCTGTGCCTTGGCTACTGTTTTTTTTCCATGCTTCTCTATTACCCGTTCGTTTCCGTCGTTTCGCCATCCGTCGGCACCTCGTGATTAGCCACCGCGCATTCGTCCGTCGACTCGCGTCTCGCGCTCCGGTGTTTAACAGGCGTCAAACGGACAGCGATCCAAGAAACCGACATCACCATCTCCACTTCGATACCATGTCCGACATAGGTACATATCGTTAGAACTCGAATCGCATGGAATCCGCTTGTTGATCGATCGTTTCCGTTTTCTGTTGTGCACGGCAAACCAACCGCTTATGTGCGGACGTAGATCTATAGTAGTTTGTCTGTAGACTGACAGCGTCGATTCCCGTCCATTTTCTAAGACCAAGTCTCGGGTATCACGTTGATCGGACCATTTCGACCGATTTGATAGAGAACGGATCAACTAACCTAATGACTGTGCTGTGTAATGCAATAACATGATTGCCATTTTTATCCATTATAACATGTACTTTTTTCTTATTTTGCCTTTCATACAATTAATCATGACTGTACCTACATGCAGACTGTTAACCTATATTTTATTGTTCTTTCACTTTAATTCTGTCATTAAAGTTAATTCTAATATCAGAAACATTTATTGTTCTAGAATAAATCAGTAAATATAAACCAAAGAAAAATGTGTATAACATAATGTTTTTTGAAAATCATGCTCGGCACTATGAAATGTCAAATGCAATATTAATGTCTCTTAAGGTTTTATTAAATTTTATCCCTGAAAGATATGATTTTTTATATTTTAATTTTGTATTAATAAATTTTTTAAAATTATTATGGTTTAGATTAAATAAATTAAATGGATAATTTTTTTTCATTCTACAGTATACGTATGCTAGGGGTTTATATATTTTTGTTGCTTATAATATAATTATAAATTCATAAATTCAAGAAAAAAATTTACTATATTAATTACTCATTATATTATATTATATTTATTGATGTATGGATTTAATTTTCTGTCAATTACCAAATACCCCTGCAAGTACCTAATTTAATTTTACTCTTTAAGGCTCCAAAGCTAATTCAAGTATTGAGTATTTCAGTTCTATATATTATCTGTAGCAACTAAAACATATTTATTTGAAATCTTTGTTAACTAAAAGCATGTAAAAAATCAACATTCATTTTTTTTTGTTGGTTTTTATTTTTGAACTATTTTTCTATAATTTAGCTTTTTGTTTTATATTTATCATGTAATCCCTATAACCCATTTATGAAATAACATTTTTTGCGTTAACTACATTATCATCAATACACTACACATATTTTTCCAGTATTTTTATTACTTATTTAAAAAAATATATTATGCTATATTATTAGATATTATTTTACTAATAAATACAAGTATTCAGTTCACCATTATTTAGTTTCATTAAGTATTTTACTATTAATAAAAAAATGTGTAGTTCACTATTGTATTTTGATATTATACTTAATATTACAGAATCAAAAATGAAGTGTAATTATGACAACCTTTTATTATCTAATATGAAACATAAAAGCATTGAAGAGGGCCTAATGGATAAGTCAAGGTACTTGTTGTTAATTATTATTTTATATTTTCTACATCAAGAAAACTATTTAAGTAATATGAAAGTTGAATATTAATATTATGTTGTACATGTCTAAGTTTGTGATAGGATTTTCTTTTATGCTTCAATATCAGTGTTTAACTTGAGGGGGGATGCAGGGGGACCGAGTATCCCAATTAATTTTCAGAAATTTTAGTGTCCCCTTACTATTATTATGTTATAATTATAACGCTTAACAAGTTTTGAGGACGCTCTTTTTTTTTAAGGTAAATAAAGTGCCCTTTCTTTAATTTTGCTAAGTCGAGTACTGTTCAATATAATTAATTTTCAATTACAATATAAATTAAATTTACTAAAATAATTAAGAACTATATTTGACATTTTTCAATAATTTAACATAAATGATTAGTTTTATTAAGTGTCTAATTAAGTACAATAAGAATACTCAAAAAATCTATAACTATTGTTGGGGAGTAAAATTTACTAACATAGAATGTACTGCCAAATTTAATTAAAAGCCAAATATTTGTGGTATGGTTAAATTTTTAATTTTGTTAAGTATTTTCTTGAAATTTATCCATACTATGAAAGAATGCCCATTTTTAAACATTATAAACTAGTAATTTAATTATTTGATAATTTTAGTGATGTGTATCAGAGAATTGCCTGGTATAAACTAAAAACAACTATTTACGTTTTAATAAATAAGGTCAACGCAGTTAATATTGGAACTGTGAGAAAAGAGTTATTAAAACTAAATATTCTGCGAGGAAAAGGTATATTTTGTCAATTTATTACTCAAGCTCAAATAGCATCTATTAAAGATACTCATGTTTATGCTACTTTGGTCGCTGTTATCAATTATGTAGTAAGTAATTATATAAAATACCTTTTAAAAATTGTATTTTAATTTTAATATGTGTCAATATTTTTAGTTTCCGATTATAGGAGAATTACTGTTGACTAAATGTATTATGCAGTTTAAAATTGCATATGATAACAAAAATTCTCAGTGTTTAGCATCAGTAATATTTATTGCTCATTTGATTAATCATAGTGTAGTAAGTTTTATTCATGTTTTGGTTATAAAAAATATACAAAATATATAAATATTAAATTTTAGGCTGATGAAATGCTAGCCATTGAGTTGTTAACATTGCTTGATGAATCATCAACAGAAATTACAATTGAAATAGCTATTGTTATTTTGGAAATATGTGGCAAGAAATTGAATGAAATTTATGGAAAAAAAATGAATGGTGTTTTTGATAAACTTAATTATATTTTGTATAATGAAAATATTGATGAAAGGGTAAATAATATTTATTATTATAATTCTTATTTAGTTACCTTTAGAATTATTTTTTAATTTCATTTACAATTTGTTCTCTTTTTATTTAATATTAATTCTAAGCGTTACAGACTATAATACCTTTGGCTTCCATAACAATTCTTTTCTACTCGTCTTGATCTTTAATTACATTTATCCAGTTATGTATACCTATTGTAGGTCTTTCTTTACTTCATCCAAATATTTACTTCTTTGTCTGTGCTTCTTCTTGTTCTTTCCATTCTTGTATGCATTATTAGTTTAGACATTCTTTCCTCGCCCATTATTTGTTTGACCTAACCATCTTATTCTTCCTGCTTTTATAAATTGTATTACATATTTCCTCATCTAATATGTGTTCCATTTTGTTGTTACTTCTTAAAATTTCTTTTCATTTAGTAAATTTAATTAATTTTTTCAATTTTAGAGATTTATTAGAGCTTGGATGTCCTAAATAAATCAATAAAAATGAGATTTGTATGCTATTCAATTTTTTTGCTAGAAATTATAGCCTAATATATTAAAAAAATCAGCATCTAGGATTTATTTAAAATAAAAAACTGATGTTTTTTTTAATCTAAAATATATTGTTTTTTTTACATTTTAGATTCAAAACAGAATTAAATTAATATTACAATTAAAAAATAATGGATTCAAGGTTAAACAGATTGACTTAGTACCAGCTGCTGATTATCAAATCACCCATTATTTAACTTTAGAAGCTACAACTGATCCAAAAAATATAATAGGTTATACATATTTAAAAATTAATTTTAATTTTTTTAATTTTTAATTTTTTTTATCAGATTATTACCACTATGATTCTGAATATGAGTTGCATGAAAAAGAATATAAATTAGCAGTAAAGAAGACAGAAGAATCTGAGAGTGAAGATGATTGTGATTATAAATTTGATTTCAATTCTCATGAAAATTATCTGAGTAAAAAAAAAAGGTAATTATTAATTCTATTTCTACATAAGGGTGTAGTTTTACTTCAAGCAACACATACTTAAATATTTAATAAATATATTTACATAATAGTATAATGTTTAAAAAAATTAAAAAATTGTGAAAAATCGAATAAATGCAATTTTAATATTATTTTTTTACAAAATTGAAATTCACTTTTAAACAAAATTAATTTATATGATTATCATTTGTTGAATTTTCAATACTGTTCTATTAATTTTAGCTGTAAATTATTCAAACTAATGCATATTCTTAAAGTATGTACTTTTTATAATTATTTTATAAAAGTCCATTATTATATTTTTTTATAGTGGTAACATAAAGTGATACTCACTCTAATATTATAATATAAACTATATTCAATATTCTTCAAGTTATAAAATGTATTTTATAGAAATAACATTCGTTCAAGAGGTAAAACCTGAAAAAAAGACAAATACAAGTATAATATGTTTAAGCAAAACTATAGGGTATAATGAATGTGCTCAAATGATGAAGAATGATCAAGAAATTGAAATGCGCCTTATATTTTTTTACTGTTGTCATGAGCAAATATTTAAAGAGGATTTCATACTTAAACCACAAGTAAAGATTCTGTTTTCATTTATTAAGTCAACTGCAATTTTGTTTGTTTATAATATTATATAAATAATTAAAATGTAAAAAACATTATTACCATATTATTTTGATTATTAAGTACCATTCATAAAATAATTATTTAATACATTTAAGTTAAAATTATAAATTATACACAGTTTTTTTAATTATTATTAAAAATAACTAATCATAATCATTTATCTAAAATTATAAACAAAGCATTTTTGAATTGTGTATTATATATACATAATATAAGTCAAGTCACCAAAAACCAAAATCTATGATTAGCTTTCCAATGTGACAAATATCCTGTTTTTTTTTTTTTACATGAACTTTTCCTCTTTTTTATAGCTTTTTTGCCAAACAAACAAAGGACTTTCTCAAATAATAACTCAGAGTCAACGCTATTTAACTTGCCAAAATATTGATACAAATAAATTACAAAATTGTTTGAAAATGTTTGCTCAACTTCTGTTTTCTGGTTCAATGTCATGGAAAATGTTATTAGTAATGCATGAAAATGAAGATGAAACAACTTCTTCCTTTAGAAGTTACATTAAATCATTGTTCCTAAAATTAGGTGAACATAATTTAAGATATGATAACTCAAATTTGAGCATTCAAGATTCGTAAGTAAGATCTAATTTATTTTATAATTTAGTTACATTTTATGTATTTTTTATATTTATAGAAAAAAAATTAGTTAGTTTTAATAATTTTTTTGTGAAAAAAAAAAATTGAAAAAAGAATTTCCTAAAGATAATCCAAAATCTTTTAATATGTTTTATGAAAATACTCTTAAAATTATTCACTTTGTAATAATAGTATTGCAATTCTTTTCACCAGTGGCTAGTCTTTTTTATATGAAATTAGAAGCAATATGTTAAATAAAAAAATATTTGCTCAAGTTATTTTATTATAACTTCAGATGTCATAAGGATCTTATATGTCACAGTTTTTTTATATGTTCTAAGGCTTGACCACTATAGCCTTAACTAATCTGAAATCTAGCAACGATTAATAGTTATTAACCATATAATTAATCAACACTCCTCACTAAATTAATATAATTGTATGTATATTTTGTTTAGGAACAAATAGAAAAAAAGAATAAATCAAATCCAATAATTTAACTATTCTTCTATTATACTGAAAAGTGAAGTTATCGACACCTAATGATTTGTATAATTTAATGTTTTTCAAATTGATGTAAGTTTTTATTTAATTGTCTGTGTGCTATTAAGTGTTAAACCTATTTAAACTATTCTTTTGTTGTACGGTAAAAAAAAAAAAAAAAAAAATAAATTGTTCATTGGTTATATTTTCAATATTGCTTATAATATAAGGTTTTCATCTAATCTTAATATGCTAAATTTGTTAATCATCAATTATATGTTAATTTTAATCAGGAAATATCTGTCATTATATTCTTTACAATTTTGGTTGTAAAGTAGAACAAGGCGATTTTTAAAATTTTTTGTCTTTTATAAAAATGTATTTTTTGCTTGATGTCTGATGTATGTGTTAAGTTAAAATTTATAATATTTGGTTTTCATTCAAAGTCAATAACATTTATCTAGCAAAATTTTTTTATTAACCATTAACTTAATTTTGAAGAAAAATTGTCATTGTGGTAAATAAAGAGTCTTATCTTTTAGTTTCATTCATTCTTTTTCCCCTTCGCCTTTTCCCCAACTATTTAAGGCCTATGGCAGGATGGCCCTAGTTCTAAACTTCCACTCATCTCAATTTTCTATATGTCTCTGAATCGTATCCAACCTTCTTTTCTTTTTTTTTCGGTTTTTGATCTTCATCCTCTTTTCCCTTAAACGTTCATTTTCATAACAACTTTTATGGCATTTGTTTCCTCTAGTCTCAACACATGCCAAAATCATTTAAGTCTATAGTTTTTTCATCTTATCCATTATAGACATAAATTGAACAAGTAATTAATTAATTGACAACAAAACGGACTAAAATTAATTAAATATTATTATATTATTAGAATAAATCAACTCAATAAGTATGATTGTATATTAATTATTAGAAACAATTTTTTCGAGTAGAGTATTTGATTATTGGTCTATGATAGGGCGTAATTTTAACATTTTCCCCAGGTTTAAAAATTCCTAGTTCCACCTCTGGTTATAGCCATAGGTACAATTACAAATACTTTCTGCAGTAATAAACCTGGACATTCATCTTTAACAACCATGTGCGTGCGGTTTCAACCCGCGACTCATAATCATTATCAGAAATTATTTACGATCAAAGCAGATAGATACAAATGCCGATCATTTGGCTATGATAACACGATAATTACGCATCTCTGATCATATCCATACGATATATACGGTATTCACTCGATATTTCACGCGTTACACATGATGGTCTAATAAATATTCCACTACTTGTCACCAACATTTTTCCGTACGAACGATTGTCAACATGTCGTCGGATTGCGGTGTTTGACGGTCATGAAAAAATTCGTCCAATGTGTTCTTCAAATGTTTAGCCGATGAAAATATTCGATGTTTATATTAGTAAAGTTTGCAACGCACCGTATTCTTACTTTTGCCCCGTAAGTATTGAAGTTATTTGGAGTAACCGATCCGTTTGAGAATCCTATTGTATGACTAAATGGTTGACAGTTATTACGAATCACAGAGTTAATTTTGATGAGCACTATTAAATGTAGTATTGTTTTTACTGCTAAAAGTAATGTAATAGATACCCCTACTCATGTTAATGAGTTATATATGAATAAAATAATTTTTATCTGCTTTATCGTATTTAACAAAGTATTTAAAATTATTTAATGTACTCACTCTTAAGGTAGGTATAGACAAAGTAACATTTTGGCAACTGGTTGACAACTTGTTGCTAATGGTGTTACCACTAACAAGTATCCTAACGACCGGTAACAAGTTGATGGATACTCATCAACATCAGACTTCATGATTTCAAAGAAATTTGTTGCGTGTTGCTTGTTTTCATGTTTTCCATTCTAAATAGAAAATATTGCTCAGTGTGAATGGTGTTATCAACAATATCGCAAATTGAAATCGACCTGTACTTGTTGTCTGTACGCATGGTTTATAAATATTTGTAATTTTTTTAAACTTTTGCATCATTTTATGATTAATAAATTATGATTTATATGATTATATGATGTTATATGATTAATAATAGAACTTATATAAATGCTGAAAGTTGCTCCTGCCTTGTTAGACATATAGACCAAAAAATATCGGGATAGGAACTTGAAGTTTGGTAAAACGACCAAAATAGCACCACACAAAAAAAAATGTGCATAAAATATTGAGAAAAATGAAGTCCTTAAAAATGCAGTTTAGCCAGGAACGGAAGAAAATTGGAGAGAAAAGTAGAACTAACTAATGTGAATGTGGACACACAACTATTGGTTTGAATGTGTCACACAGTTGACAACATGTATCCAGATATAAGTATCTCCATCCCACAAATTTGTTGTCAACATATTGTTGTCCTGTTTGTACATACCTTTATGAAACATTTGTATTGGTTTTTCAATAACTGCAAATTTGGAGCTGAGTTTTTAGATCATCAAAATGCTCTAATGTTAGGTATAGAGTTTTAACATTTTTAATCAGCCACTAGTATCGTGGTGAGCCAGTGGCGGTGTGACGGCAGATTTTTGAGTCCCTGGACTCAAGTCAGTGGGTGGGTATTGACCATTGGGTATCGAGTGGGTATTTGTAAATATGCATTTGAGAGAGAAGGAGCTCTTTTTACGAGTTACCCTTAAATTTCTTTTTAGGTGGATGGGTGGGTGGGCAAAATCTTAACAGGACTCATGAAGTAAAATATTTCGCGCCGCCACTGTGGTGAGCACAGCTCACCTCGTAAGTATTTTGAAAACCATTTATTTAATTATTTCTTGATTCTTTTGTATTTTTACATTCAATCGAAACAGTTCTAAATGTATTCTTGCCAACTTAATAATTTTATAAATAATTCTTGATATGATATCGACATGCAATATCATTAATGTCCATAAAGTGAGCGTTGTGCTCACTCCATAGGCAACATGGACCTAGATAAATAATATTTATTATGCTATTAAATAATATTGCAATATATAATAACTATGTATTTAAAATAAATATATCTAACAAAAAGAAAATATTAAAGTAAATATTATTTTAAAGACTATATGAACAAAAGGTTTTTTTTTTTTTTAAATAATGTAGTATTTAATTTTTATTGTTTGAAATATTTGTAATTAGGAAAAATATTCATAATTATATTTGAAAATTATTTAAGTATAAATAATTTGGTGATGGTTTCAATCGTTTATGCTTATTAAATAATAAATAATGATAAAAAACAATGAGGTGAGTGTGGCATAGCACTTATTATACAAATTATTTGCATACTTTAACTTATTTCTAAAGTCCTGAATAAAGTTGATTATATAATAGATACATATGTATGTTAATGTATAATAAAATATACTACATGAAAAAGTATATTAAAAAATTTAACATTATTTTACTTGAAATAATTTATATCATAGGTAATAATAAAATAAAAATACTATAATAACAATTTTTATTATAGCAAATTGTTATATTATGCTATTCATTTTTTGTTACAAATTATATGTACTTTATTTTTAATTTAAGCTTTTCATGCATTTAAATTCTAGAAGTTATCTTTTGAATTTGCAAGACATCCCAAATATATATTGAATAAGTAATTTATTTATTGTTTCAACTCAAACACTGCAATGGCCGGCTCTACGACAAACAAGAATAATACAATTAATACAAAACGAAGAACAGTAATTTCCAAAGATGATAAAAGTGAACTTGATGAGTAAATTTAATAAACATTTTAAACTAAGCTTACATTATAAGAATTTCATATTTAGTTTCTCAGATGATGAATTACCTCTATCATCGATACTTGATTGTTTAAATAATTCTAGAGATGTAAATTTAAAATGCAAGAAAAAGTGTGATGAACAAAAATGTGAGTATTTATTATTTGTTTATTTTCTAACTAAAATATTAGTTTTGATCATTAGGATTTAGGTATGTAAGTACTTACTATAAAGCATAGTTTTATTCCACATAAGTAGTGGCAGCTCGTGTATATGTGCACAAGTACACGTACACTATCTACCCAAACTCAAAAAAAAAATTGAAAATATAAACCATAATAATAAAACTAAATACCTGTAATGGTATGAAGATTATTTTTCAAAATATAAAAATATAAAATCAGATTATTATGAAAATAATATAATATTAGGATTGGGTTATTCCAAAACCCAAACGGGCAGGTGGTTGTCCGTGACGGAACGGTATCAGTGTGTATGTATTAGACTATAACACAGCAGTGGCGTCCAGACCAGGGACGGCGCGAGGAGGTGAATAATAGGGGCAGTTGCCCAGGGCCCCGCGCCTTAAATTATAATTAAGGCCCCGCGGGTCTGATTTAACTGAACTTAAAATATTTTAATAATATAAATTATAAGACCTAACATTTATTTTGCCCAGGGCCTCGCAAAATCTAGCACCGTCACTGGCCCAGACAGGTTATCAAGGAGTGCAATTGCATGTGCTCTCGTCGGGGGTGGGTTGGTGGGTATATAATTGGACAACTTTGATACCAAACATAATGGAGTATGGTAAGCAAATAACATTATTATTATAACACAAACATTATACCTATACGGTAATGGGTGTAGACATTTTAATTTTAATTAATTATAATAAATCTTAATTTCTTAAATGTATAGTTGTTTAAGAGTTAATTACAGTTACAGACAACAATTTAAAAAAATGTTTTTTTTTTAAAAAAAAAATTGGTGGGTGTATGGGTAACTTTTTTTAGTTACATGTACTCTCAAAATATTTCTGTGCACTACTGTAACTGTTACAGTGCTTGACTTTAGGGGGGACGCAGGGGGACGGAGTACTCCAACTGATTTTCAGAAATTTTAGTGTCCCCTTGCTATTATTGCGTTATAATTATAAAGCTTAACAAGTCTTGAGGACGCTATTTTTTTAAAGTAAACAGGGTCCCCTTCTTTAATTTTGCCAAGTCAAGCACTGGTTATAGTGGTGCAGTAGTGCACACTATTGCTGTGTACATTTGTACAATCTAAAAATTAAAACAAGTTGAAACATGCTACACGCGTTATAATGGAATTGATGTGCACATAACCAATTTAATTGTTTTCAGCGAATTATTTTCGATGTCGCCGCGCCGTTGCACGTTGGCATCGTCATTATGATTTATTTTTACTCTCATTTGTTTATTATATTCCGATTATCGGCTGATAATGTTAGTCATTATCTTAAATTCGAAACAACAATCAATTAAATAACCTTATAATATTTTTATGTAATAATTATAATAATAATAACAATAATTTTTATTTATTTTTTTTTTAAGTTTAAAAATTCACTAATTTATAATTAAGTTAAATTTTAATAGAATTAATAAAATTAGTTATCAATGAGTATTTTTTTTTGTCCTGTCTCTTATATTTTTCACAGCAGGGCACCGTGGCTAAATTGAGTTTAAAAAAAGTTTGGTAAACGCTGGTCTAAGAGATGCATTAATTGTATGTGTTATTTTTAATATTAGAGGTTTTTGGTTGTACAAATTATTTATTTTACTTTCAAGTAGTTACAATATGTTATTGATTAATTTGTTTTTGATGTGAAACCTGTTGGTTTATGATCTTTATGAATTAAGTTAAATCCAGTATAAAAAAGTAGGCCTATCTTCTCTTGAAAACCAAACTTAAATTGATTACTTCATTATCTTTTGATTTCTTAAGTGTAGATAAAGATTTAAAATTGGAAAATGGGTACCTATATGTCGAAAGATAAACAAAATTAAAAAATGTAATGAACATTGGGTGCGTCCTTTAACTAAAAACATTTAATTTTAAAACATTTTCTGCAGATCATTTGAATTTTTAAGTTTTGTAAATTTATATGAAATAAATTGCTTATGGAGAAACTTAATTTAGTCTTAGTGTATTTTATTTATATTTTAGATTTTGTCAGCTTTAACATTGAAACATCCCGTTTGATCAAAAACAATAATCGTACATTTAATTCAAAATAGAGATCATTAGATTCTGAAGATGATAAAAGTGAATTTGATGAGTAAGTTTATTATAACTTTAACTTAAAATATATTTTAAAGATTTAATTTTTAGTTTATCAGATTTTGAATTGCCATTGTCATCAATAACTGATAATTTAAATAATTGTAAACAAGTAAAATACAAAAATATGTGTAATGAACTAAAATGTGAGTATTTATTATTTATTTCCCTGCTAACCAAGATTTAGATTTATATTATCTTCTTTTAAGCTAAGTGATACCTCATTAAGTAAAGTAATTATTTTTATCCTTATTTTATAAAAATATGAAGAAAATTAGGTTTTTATAAAAAAAATATAATGAAATTATATAAATGAATTACACACTAAGTATATTTTCTAACTTTAAACAATAAATCATTTTTTTATAGATTATTTGATTTTTAATTATTATATAATTTAAAAAGAACTGTAAATTTATATGATTATTAATTAACTAACATATTAAAATATTATTAAAAATTAAAGCTATTTTTATTTTTTCTATTAATTCAAAAAAAAATTGTATCAAGTTTCGCCATAATTAATTCAATATGTACAATAAATATACACCATTTTTATTTTTCAACAAGAAATTACAACATTAATTTTCTGTGTTATACTTTGATGAACTGAATGCTTAATAAAGCACAAAAACATGTTTACTTATTTTATTTCTAAATAGTTTTTATCACAGCTATAACTTGTAGTTATTGATTTTGTTTATATTTATCATTATGATCATACTAGATTTTATTATGATTTTATCAACTTAGTACATAAAATACATTATACAGGTCTATATGATGTGCTTATATATTAATTTTCATTCAAAATTATTATATTAATAAGTATAACTAGGTATTAAAAATTCCTCATCTTTGGTCATACCTATAAGTACACATAATCAACACTTAAATTCTATTAATTTTATTCATATATAGTAATTTGAGTATCTTATTTATAATTTTGACTGTCTAAATTCAAACACTGATTCTATTATAAACATTAATAATACAATTAATATAAAACTGAGAACAGTAGACTACGAAGATCTTAGTGAAATTCATGAATAAGTTAATTTTTCATTCATTTTTAGTTTTAAACATTTTTCCAAAGTTTAATATTTAGTGTCTCAGATAACGAACTGCCCCTGTCATCTATAGCGGATTTTTTTAATCCAGTTGATAGTCATAACCAAGTATATAATAAAATAAGACACAAGTAAAAAAAATGGAGGAAAACTCGAATTAAATTTTGATGAATAAATATGTGAGTACTGATTATTTTATTTTATATCAAAATATTAATTATGATTAATATAATGTAGATTTGCATGTACTTAAGTTTATATTATATATAAATTATATAATTATGTAAATTATATTATATAGAATCAAAGTTGTGTTGTCACAAATTATTTTTTTTAAAATTCTTCATTGCAGAGATAGAAATATTTTAGAATGATTAAAATAACTTGTAAAATACAATTTTTATTGGATATTACTGAAACTCTATAATAATTTGAAGAAATACTATAATAAATCTTATGTATTTTTTTTTTGTTTGTGAAAAATATAGTTAAAATAATTTCTATGAATTTCAAAACATTACATAATCTTTAGTTTTCACTTAGGAGCTGAATTATTCACTAAAGATGAAAATCTAAAAGAAAATATATAGATTTTAATTAATCTCTTCTACCTACTCTTTGTTTATAAAAATTTCTTTTTAAAATTCTGAAGTCATGAAGTCAATTTTTTTTATTTTATATTTTTTATATCAGTTGCTCCATTTTTATATTGGGTATTATAGGTAATATTTCTTATCAGAAATTATGATACTTATGGTGTCTTAAGTGCATTAAGGTTTCATTAAGGTTCATACAAGCAATATATTTTTTTTATTATGCCATTAATTTTACTAAATTATTCTGAAATATAAGTGTTAATTATAATATGAGCATGGGGTATTGAAAATCTAAAAGTTAAGTATAAATTATTTCGTGGAAAGATATTATTGTAGATGAGAGGAATTTGTCTACTTCATTGAAATATTCTATCTTATTTGTATATATTAATATTGCATTTTATCTGTTTGATAGCTATTTAAAAATTAGTGATTCCATACATGTTAAATAAAATAATACTTCTTAAGTTGAAACATACAGTAAATTTTTTTTTTTCATACATTTTTTTTATGTACAACAGTTGAAGAATATAAATGTAATTATTGTAATCAAGTGTTTCATAAGCGGATTGAAATAATTAGACATCTAAGAAGATCTATATGCTTACCAGATTATTAAAAAAGGTATGTATCATCAGCACCATCACCATGTTAGATTATTTTTATGATCAATAAACATAGGAATACTATATGGGTACAAAGGATAAATAAATGAAATTGGTTGCAAGTAACTAGAATATTTTAAATATTTGTATTAAATAATTAAATGTAAAAAAAATAAGATTGTTTTTTTAGTTAAAATTACAGACATAAAAAAAAAAAATTGTTGTATATTTTTATTTATTTTAATTATATGAGAAAAAAAAGTTTAAATGTTAACATTAATTTAATACTGTGTATTAAACACTTGCTAAACAAGATAAAAATAACATGCTATTATTTAAATTCAAATATTTATATATTTATCAATACTGATAAATTATTAGAACTAAACATACAAAATTAGACATGTTTTAAATTATTTTTTTCTGATTGACATTTAAAGTACACAAATAATTAATTGCTGAATGTCCACGAGCATAAATATTTTTTCTATCAAGTTGAACATTGGTTACTCAACATTGAAATGAAGCATACATTTTAAATTTAAAAATATACCATTATTATGACATATTCTCTTCTCAGATTATAAATCACTCCTTATGAGACATATTGAAAAATCTACTACTATATATTGTAATATTTTATATTAATATCATACAATTGTAATTCTAAGATATTTTCATTTTGTATTTAAAAATATATAATGCATAGGAATGAACAGTTTTACAATCTTAAGTTCTTATACTTTTTTATTTTTCAACTGGTTGTCAAGAACTTCTATTTGAGCAAGTAATGATTGTAAACTAAAAACTACAATTGATGTATTTTTATCTATGTGGGAATCAATGTCATTAATTAATAATTCATTGTTCTTGAGAGTTTTGGAAGATTCTGCATATTGAACTCTTTGATTTTCAATTGTTACTGCAAATGTACTAACTAAAAAAAAAAATATATATATATATATATATATATATATATGAAGTGAAGAAAGTATAATTTTAAAATGTACAACTGATAAATAAGTAAAAATTAAATGAGCAAATTATTAAAAAAACAAAACAATTTTAAATTTTACATCATAATTACATAGATCATAATCAATAATATGGACGTATTTGTTTTTTAAGTTTAAAATATTTGAGCATTACTCGGAACTCACAACACATTCCTGAGATAAGTGAGTTGTACTTAAAATACTTTCATAAAATATTCAACACTAACAACATATATTTCATAGAAATATTATTGATAAACTCTTCAATTGTTTTTACATAAATCTTTGATTTGCTTAGCATCTTAATACAATAACCTGGTATTAAATTTTACCATAGCATGCATTATGCATTTAAAAAATGTACTTGTCTATTTTTGATTAATCAATAATTTTTTTATTTTTATTCTAGGTAGTATATTTGGTATGGTCCACGTCTGTATTTATGTTAAATCTGGCTTTATTAATAAGACAAGAATCATTGAACCTTCAGAAATATATTAATTAATTGATTTAGTTAATTTTATAATCAAATTGTATTTTATTCCATGTTAATTGTTTTAAAATTGTTAAAATTATTTATACTAAAAATATAATATTAATTATCAGAATTAGATACTAAATCAGTGAAAAAATTGATTATATTATATATATATGAATTACCTTGGTGATGAAAATTGTCTAAAATAGTCATTCTTTGTATAATATGAGGTAACAAATGTGATTCTTCCTTTGCTTTTAAAATAGTTTCATAAAGCTTATTTATCTTTTCGTTTCCATCTATATTTTGATTATTTAGTTTGGTGGCAATTTGTTTTAACTTTGGTAATATATTTAAATCTCTAGATTCAATTTTGTTCACTTGAGAGATAATTTGCTTGGAAAATTCTTTTAATGAGCAAACAGCTTTAACTAACCCATCCTTGCTATTGCCACCCAAGTGTTTCTGTAAGACATAAATATATTTGTACCTCAATTTTTATTCTAGTATAATATTTTCTACTACATACTACAATAATATAGAAACAAACTTTTTAAAATTATCAAATCAACAATTAACCTTAATCAAGAAAAATAAATAAAAATATCATCTAACAGTGAGTATAAATTGGTTTTATAAGTCTATCTATATAAGATGTCTAAATAGGTTAATATAAATTTCAAAATTGGGCATGGAATCATATGTGAAATAAAAATCCATACTTTTAAATTAAATTTTTGTGAAAGTTTAATATCAATGTGTTGATTTACAGTTTTTATGTTTAAGCATACATATTTGTTATAATATATACAGGGCCGGATTGGCCCGGCGAGTTACCGAGCAAAACTTGATGGGCCGCGACAATATTTGGCCTTTTAAGTTGTGAAAGGCCGCTAACAGAAAATATTAATTGTTTTAAGTTTAAGATTAGTGCATCTATTGAATATGCGATTAAAAAAATTTGGACAAGGGCCGCCAGTTAGTAAGTGAGCCGGTAACATACATAAAACTCGGTGGGCCGATTTTGTCCAATCCGGCCTTGAATATATAAGACATTTTGTAAATCAACAGGAAGTAGATAAATAATAATTTAAAAATAAAAACAAATTAAATTATGCTTTATGGATTATGGATATAAATATATTAATAATTATTAAATAAAAAATGGCTTAATATTAAAAATATGCAATTATAATAAGGTTAAATTATTTTTATAATCCTCACCAGCATTAATTGTTCAGAACCAATAATCATTTCTAATTTTCGTAAACGTATTTCTAACTGAGATATTTTTGATAATTTATCAACTTTAAATTGAATTGATTTTTTTATTACTTTATTATTTAGATTTTCTGGAATATTCTTAAAAATTAACCGTTCCTTGTCATTAGTGTATAATATGTTATTTAATAATTTAGTAACAATGTAGTTTCTAAAAACAAACAAAACACGTTTAATTAAATAATTAAAATATATCCTGGCATATACGCGAAATCAGTAGCATAACTTCAAAATGTAGGGATATATCAACAATGAATTTTTTTTTTTTTATGTAACACGAATAAGTAGTATCTACTTTTTTTTATTCTAATAAATATAGATACCTAGGTAACTCTTTAGATAAGTAATATAATGGAATTAAAAAATGTTAAACTATATTGCATAGTTTTTAGAAGTTATTACTAAAATATTGTTAAAATTAGCTTAGGTTAGCTTTCTATACAAATACAGTAGTCTTGTTGATCTGTAAAAGATAGGACCGCGGACTATCCAGATTAAACGGAATTACTTTTATTTCAATTTATTAATAAATATTTAAATAAAAAAACACCTTATTTATAAAAATTCAAAATGTAGGTATTAATTTATTTTACATAACACATAATTATATTATATCAATTGTATTGTTGTAAGTATATTATAAATATTAGATTTATTGAATTGTATTTTATCAATATATATATATATACATAAGTACTTAAGTACGACATATAAATTGTCCGGATCAGTGAGACTCTACTGTAGTTAAGAAAGAAATAATAATGTATAATGATAATCATAGAATTTAGAATAGAATTTCGGAGGATATACCATTAGAAAAGTATTTCATGTGGTTCGCAGTGGTGAGGACAACTTGAACAATATATATAACATTTATTACAATAAAAATACTAAGTAGGTAGGTACATAACATTTTTGAAGTAAAACTTCTTTCTTGAGATCTGGGTGGAAAGAAAATCGTCACGAAAAATGAAACGGCTGATATGGTGTATGGATGTGTGTGTAAAAGTGAGACAGAAATCGCTTGAATGGTTAAATATCATATGTGCGAGTTTGATAGCGCGTCATTCGCTGCGTGTTCTCTATGTTTTATCTATTTTTACTCTCCTCTTTGTGCGGATCTTCGTATTCTGGGACCGCTTGTGGAGAGGCATGCAGGCATTATACGCGCGTGCGTGCATGTTGCTTGACTACTTGCAGTGAACGTTTCGTCACAGCGTAGTATACATAGAAAAAACACGCAGATATATTTATGAACACCTATTTACATTGGTCACGCGTGAACGGCTGGGCCGATTTCGCTAATTATTATATTATTATATTATTATTATACCAATGTATTAATAAATTTATTTATTTTATTTTGTATTGATTTTTTTCTCTCTCTCCCTAATTCACTAATAACTGCACGGGCCCCAATACTTATGAAAGAAGTTTTACTTCCCCAGACTGTAATGATCGGTTCACACGCTCAATTTTTTTTTTAGGCACCTAATATACGGTACCAATACATGAAAAAATTATTTTAAAGTATCCAAATATCAGTCTTTTATAATTTATTTCATATTTGTTATTATTACCAATGATTATAAAGTAATCAATGGATATTATTATTACGTGTCATCATGAGAAAAATATAAATAACTGAATTGAAAATAAATAAAGGTAGGAATCGTGTTGGACAGACAATAGACGAACATACAGTATTGATTATTGAATCAGACAAAATAAGAAATAATCTTGTTAGAATGGGATAGATTTTGTTAACATAAATTACTGGGATAATGTTGGTCGTCGACGTTTGAAAAATAATTTATTTTTAAAATGTATATTATTTTTATTACATTTTAAATAAATCCATTTTAATTTAAAAACATATAATTACAATTTTGTATTATTAAACTACTGAAAAAACATTATACATTTCAGAATTCAAGAACGTTCTAATCCCTTAAAGTTATGCCACTGCATCAGTTAATTTTCTCTGATAACTTGTAGGTGTAATAAATAAAAAGAAGAAATTTTAACATTTAATACTTTTTGTTTCTTGTGAGAATGTGAATCAATGAATAATAATAATATAATGATTTGCTTAGTTATATAAAAATTAAATATACACTACTCACTCTAAATTACAAACTTCAAAAGTTCTTGACTGTTGAAAATATCCGTCATTACTATATTTCGTTAATTTTTCTAAAATATTTCGTATTTTAAAATCAATATTTGTGTATAATTTTTTTCTATTCCAATCATTGTTCTCTTCCTTGTGGGAAAAAAAATAAAATGAACAACAAATACATTTTTTCGTAAGAATTCGATTTTTACATAATATTATTCTACAATCTTAAGTTAAAATAATGATTAAAGCGATTATATACTAAATGTTTACTTTACATTTTATTTTCTCATATACTTTACTAATTTTACATCCCACAACTTCTTTGCCTAAATCATATATCAAAACCGTACCCTTTTAATATAAAGTATTACTTGAATATTAATATCAATATTGATTGATTAATAACGATAACTGTGACAAATCTTATTTGATTACCTAAGCTTAAATGTACTAATACATTTCTAATGTTACCTATGCTAATGTATATCTTTATCAGTTATTTGACATTTTTATAATGGCTATACAGTTGTAATTACATTTATTTTTGGTGAATTTAGAAAAATGATTTAACTATCCCTTTCACTATTGTCACTAACCAACAATTGTATTATACATTATAATTATAACGACTTTAGATGCCTTCAAACATTAATGTAATTTTGGTATTAACTTACGTTGGTATTATGATCTACATACCAAAGACATATTAAAAGTTTACACTACTTCAATATTTTATAATTGTTAGTAGATTTTTTTTGATAAAATGTTAGTAGGTTTCGGTATTATACACAATTGTGTAATATAGAAATAAATTCCATTATTTTTCTATTGAAGTAACAACATATTTTAAATCTCTTTTGTTAAAGAAGGACAGTAAAAGAGTTCCAAAACCATAATTATAAAGTTTATAACTATAAAATCATTAACATATTATTTATAATTATAAAATTGGTTTATAAGACTTTAAAATAGTTATTTTCAGAGTGGAGAATGGATAAAATAACTACAAAATATATAGATTAATTTAAACATTTTATCAATAATATATATATTATTGTAATAATCAATAGTTTAAAAAAAGGTAAGACAAATTTTTATGTAAAAATTTCATTGATAAAAATAATAAATATAAAACAAGATACTTTTTTTTGTTTAGGTTGTAATAACAATTTTTATTTAATTTTGTGGTCTATTTTTTCTGAAATATTATTTTAATTTAAACAATTTCTAATTTAAAACTATTTAAGTTATCTGCTGAACTTATTTATATAAATCACAAAAAATACTAATAAATACCTAAAAACTAATGGAATACAGGTAAATATTTTTTTTTTATAAAATGTTTTATACTTTAATAAAAAATTATTCAAATATAATATAGAAAAAATAATACCTCATGAGAACAATATTCTTTTAATAACTCTTCTGTTTCAAATTTTAATCTATAATATTTTTGTAATAGTGTTTCCTTTTCTCCTTCGGCAGCTAATTCCCAATATTCATCCCTAAAAATAAAATATTAAATAACATTAAATATTTTAGTATGTACAGAAAAATTTGATTCTATTTACCTTAACTGGTGTTCTATTTTGAATGCTTTTCTAATTGAATTAAAATATTTAACTATACTAGTACATGCACTATCATCCTTTAAATATTTTTGAGTATAAAATGTATTTGTTTGAATATTATAAGCATCTTTGATTTCCTAAGTAGAAATAACTTGTAATAAATAATAATACTGAGAAAGTTATTGACACTTTTATATTATATATTTTTTTTTGATAAAGAATATTTTTAACTTTAAATATATTTACATCATCAGTTATAAAAAAAAAGTATAAGTAAATATATACAAGAACAGTTTAAATTTTTTTAATTAATTAATTTTTGATTTTTATTTGATATAATACTTTTATACACAGGATTTGTTCTCAGATTTGTTGTTAGCCTGTACATTTTAATCATATAACAGATAAATTACAGACTATGTGTATTCATTAATTATGTAATATTTTATCCTTGATATTCTATGACTTTAAATCTATTTTTATTGATTTTTTTTTTTTGAGATAATCCTTTAAAATATACATTTTAAAGTTAATAATTTACAAAATGATTGAATACTTATGTTCTTATTAAACACTTATTTATTATACATTTAATTTAAACTACCTACTCTTAAATATATTTAATTTTAAAATAATTTTATATTTGTAACGCTTGTAAGAAATTAATTAATTAAAATATTATAACACTGTTAACATATTACCTACCTGATTAAACTTCTTCAGAACTAATTTATTATCTTTAAAGATAGCTAGAGTACTCCATTGTTCTTCAACTCTGTAAGGACGTTTTTTCCATTTATTCTAAATAAAAACAATAAATAAAACATGCATATTATTATTTACTTCTAAGAAAATTAAAATTTCACAATGTACTATAAGTAAGCACTAGACATCAGCAATAGCTATTTAATTTTTTATGCATACACTTAATTTATGGATTAATTTCGGAACTATAAATTGCATTAAATGATATTAAATTTTAAATGAGATTATTAAATGATAAAAACACCTAAATAATACGAATTGCATGAAGCAAATAGCACAAAACACCTACCTATTTCATTTATATGAAACATACAGACAATTAAGTAACTTCTTAGTTTTTTTTCAATGGTCAAAATAGTATTTAGAAAAATTTGAAAGCGTATTAAATGATAATAAATTAATTTTAATAAATGTTGTTAGGTTTAATCTAATTTATAGTTACATTTAAAAGAGTATCTTGAGAATCAACCATCGTGCAATGTTAAAAATTTGAATAGCAGCTTCAACTTTTATCGTTAGTGTTCAGAAGATGTCCAATTGATTTCAAAATTAGACTGAAAGATGTTAATATCTATTAATATGTAAATGTAATATTATTGCTTTGAACAAAGCTAAAGTTAAAAATTAAATCGATTAAAACTTTTTCTAATTACTTTCAACTTATTTGGTCTTAATTGAAATAATTATTCATATTATATTAACATTAATTTTATAATAAATTTACATTGATTAGGCCATATAATTTAAATTTGATTTTACTATTTTATCAAAATTAATATTTAGTTATCTTTATATTTTTTGACATTTATGTTTGAAAATAGCCTATTTTTAATGGGAAAAGTAAACTATAAATAAACTATAAATAATATTATACATCCATCAGCATTATAAAATAATAATAATAATAAATATAGCATAAGCGTTCACTAAATGGGTACCTACCACTATATTAATCGGCATATATATTTTGTAAATTTGATGACGTCAGAAATGTTTGCGAGTTAATCTTGGAAAATGAAGTGTAGGTAGCGTAAATTATACGTACTAACATTGATTATAAATACTATATAAATAATTGGGGCTCGGAAGTTGACGCATTTTGTATTTTTTTTTTTTTTTTGGAACTTTTTAGACGATGCTCTCCTGGCCACAAATGTGTTTCATTAGCATGTGAATCCGAATGACTAATTTTTTTTGCATTTTTTTAAATTTATTGGTGTTTATTACTTTTCAACTCATTTTTTGACATTTTTAGGCTATTTTTCCACATTTTTAGTCATTTAACTGATTTACACTAGTTCACTTTTTATCGTTACCTACTTGTTGACCATTATGCCGATAATAGCTTTTTTTTTATGTTTATAGCAATACCATTAATTAATTTGTTAAAAACCAGTGTTTTACGTCTCCATCAGTTTGTTCAATGTTTATGGTTGATGATAAATGAAAATCCTTCAAACAATTTGGTTTTTTTCTAATCTCTTAGCAGTAAATCTGAAATTAACAGTTATTTTAAACATATTTCATATTATGATAATATTTATTATGCTAACTTTTTATGGGTGTTTCAATACCATGAGTTTCAGCAAACATTTTTACAGTAGATCATACTCCAGAAAAACATTTATCTGAACGTTTTTCATCTAACATATTCATTAGACTTTCAATCACTAGGTCAGCTTTATCCAGTGTAATTATTTTTTGTTGTAACTGTGTGCTAAAAATATTGATAATTTGTTGTATGTCACCAAGACAGTGAGGTGAAAAATAAATGAAACTGTATTCATTATAGATAAAATTAGTTATTAATTTGGCCACATTACAGGTTTATTTGTTCGTTTACAATGTATGGTGTAGTTCGAACAACGTACATCAATAGTATCAATAAAACGAATGCAAAATACTGTACATAGAAATGATAGATAATTTCACAATTAGTTTTAATATGTAATAAAAATGTAAGTATTAGTTAATAATTTATCATTTAATATCATTACTATGAATACAATTTTTTTGTATCTATTTGTTATATTAATTGTTTTTCTTGTAATGTATCAAACCATTAAATATGCCTTTGGCACTTTTATTCTCAAAAAAAAAAAAATATATACATTATTGTACACAATTATACAATATTGTAGAAAATGATACGTTCTACATTTGTGCTGTAGTTTTAAAGCTAATACTATGGACTGAATCAAAAAAAATTAGCCTACACACTATGATATTATACTATGATGGGTTAACGACATAATTTTGTAAAATATATTTTAAGTGAATTATATTAAATGGTACATAATAATTGTTATAAAATTTGAAAAAAAAAACTGTAGACTTTTTAATTTTTAAACACATATAGTATGTATAAATCAAGTACACAACAAGGATATACATTTATTGAATTCTATAAAGTGGATGTTTTTAAGTTACAATGTGTACATCATAAGTGTGCGCAGACATTACTGACAGGGTAGTTAGCAACAAATTTGGATGAAGTAATTTCATTTAACTTAATAATTATATTTTTCCAATATTCTTATACATGTATTTAAAGTTTACAGATGTTTTAAAGTGGTTGGACATAATATGGCTATTTATAATTATGATAACATTGAATATTTTGGTAATGGTGGGAATGTTCACGGTATAGTCAAATGGCTACCCTATTTACACTATGCGCATGCTTATGGCGTACCTTTATCACAAGTATTTTAAATTAATTTCATTTAAATATAAGATATATTTTGTTGAATATACTATATGGTATAATTAAATGTTACATAAACATTTAGAATATTGTATTATTTACAATTTACATTATTCTAATTAGTGATGGCCGCTATAATGGATTAAATTAATCTTATTGGATACACTTTTTTGAAAACAATTCAACTTTAATTAATTATGATATATTATTTAGAGTATGTTACTGTAAAACTATTAGAGGTTCAGTGTATAAAAATTATATTTACAATAATAAATATAAGATTAGAAGGACCATATATTACATGATGTTAAAAGATAATTTTTACATATGATGTGAAAAATGTAGCATTAATGAATATGACAAATGTTTGTTTGAAGTGAAAATGTACAATGGAAAAACAATAATATCAAATATTAAAATTAAACAAATATAATACTTAAATAATAATTTTCTTTGTAATCTGAAAAAAAATTAACAAATTATATGAATTAAGTAAAAAGCTGCATTAAAATAAGATCTCTTACAATATAACATTTTCAACCATTAACTAAACTACTTTAATCTATAAATTAAAGATAAACACAAAAATAGACTAATTATGTCTTAGTGTACAAAAATGACTAAATAATACTATCTAATGGTAAAAATGTTAACATTCATTTTTTAAAACCAATCAACTTGATGAGTACAATATAACATTATGTTTGAATCAAACTGCGTATGAACCACAAATAACACTATAAGCATTAATAATTTAAATCAAAAACACAACAATATCTAATTATTTTTTACATATGTATCTGGAAAATAAAAACCAAATAGTAAACAATGTTCAACTACATACGTATCAGTAATTTAAATATATTTAATTATTTTATAGAACACAAATATGGGGTCAATAATATTATATATTTATTCAGTTTCTATAATAAGTAGTTTATTATTAAATAATACTAACAGCAATCGATACACTAAGGTATTAAAAGTTGTATATTCAGTATTAATTGCAATGGATGCAAATTATAAGTTGTGTATAAAATATAAGTTTTTATTAGATCGGAGAAAGAACAATATCACAGGAACAATCATTGTGATAGATAGTGTTTTTACTTCACCAATCATTCCTTTGAAAAACTTTGGTCCAAAAGAACCACTGGATAATCGTTCCTTATACATGGCACGTCTAAAGGTACATCACCCTGTTAACATTAAAACAATAATTAATAACAAATGTTAACAATTATAAGTATTAAACTTGAGTTAATCACAATCATTTATAATAGAGTAAGAAATTAAAATGGAAATTTGATAACAATTTAAAAAAGTATATACTAGATGAAATATGGCATTAAGATTTTTTTCAAAAAGTATAAAAATTAAACATTTTAAGTTCTAATCAGATAATAATTTTTAAACATCTTTATATATTAAATTTAACAATTTAATAAATATTAAGTAAAAAGTATAAATTAAATTTATACTTCAAACAATATGCTCCTTTAATATTTTAAACTACATTTTCATAAAACTACAAATTAATATTAGCATTCAATTTTGTTTTAAATAACTGATGTACCTGCGGTTTTAAATGTTGATTACCAATTTTTTTCAGTGTTACTTTTGATCCTACTTTTGTTTCAACATAAAATTCATGTGCAGTATCGCCATCTTCATCCACATACATTGATCTATTATGTATCAAAAACAAATAAATTATAAAATAATTTTATATAATATGATAAAATATAAATTATATGTAATTTATAAGGTTCAGTATGTATTAAAGTGATTTTTTTTGTTTTTTCAAAGTTTTGGATTTAATTAATTTTATTAAATTATTTTACTTACCCTCTTCTAGAGTAAACAAATGGACTTATAGGATTTTTAACGGCAATTGCATCTGGTTGATGGGTGTCATAGTTATTTAGTTTTTCATGAGCTTTGGAACTATTATCTTTAGAACTCGTTTGGATTGAGTTTTTAAATAGTTTAGTTGTTTTGCCACCCATTGTTTTTACAATTACTTAATAATCTATATATTTTCTGAAAAATAAAATAAAAATAGTTATCAAATCAAATTACACCAAATTTAATTTTTAAGTTTAAGATACAATAATGAATAATGTTTAGAATCAAGTTCAAATTTAATGATATTAAGTTAATTATTATTATTAAGTTGATATTAAGTCACAATAAGATATTTATAAAATTAAAATTGATGTATTTATTTATTAAAAAGAAATCATTCGAAAACAATAACTGATTCATGAAATTAGAAGAAATAGAAAGATAAAAAAAAAATGTTTATTATATTAAAATATATCTATAAATTAAACATAATGATAGTTGGTTAAATGTCTATAAATATAATGTATGATTTATATACGTATACTAAGCATATTTGTATTTTGAAAAAAATATTCCTTCAGTTTATTTAAATAACAATTTAATATAAAATTTAATTTAACCAATAAATTAATTTTCCTAATTGTTTGTATAAATAGAATAATTCTAAGAAATGAGAAATTGTGAGCTTATAAAACAGTTTAATTTAATTTAATTAACAGACACATAAATAGAACACTTAAATAAATCATTAAAAATATGTATAGTACTTTATGTATAGTGAAATAATTATTTAAAATATATTTTAATTTGTAATTAATATGCTTTATTATATTTGATAAGCATATGTGCATATAGATTTATAAATGCAACAAATTAAAGTTATTTATTTTATTTTAAATATTGTTAGTCATAGAAATCACTATATTTGTAATACTTAATTTTAAAACATAATTATCAAAAAAAATAAAAAACTCAAATTGAACACAGTATGTAATTCGGCGGCATTAGGTACCTTTCATTTCATAACAAAAATATCAAAGGGTGTGGTTGAAAATAATCTAATATAATGATTAATACAAAAAAATCATAGAATATTGTATAGTTTATTAAGTAAATAATTCAGAATTATACACTTATACTTATTTGAAGTTGTTGAATATGTGTAGCAATGACAGAGATGAAAAGATATTGACGCTTTAACAATAGGTATTTATAACATATGAATTATTCTATAGTCAACTATGCAGTTGCTATTATACAGAGTACAGTATTCATAACAAAAGTATAACTTTATCAAATCAGTTATATGATTGAAAAAAAGTATGAAATCTCTATTCATTAAAGTATCAAATTTTAATTAAACGCAGTACTTATTATGTTGTTATCTGTACATTTGTAAATACTTACACAAATAGAAGAATGAATATTCCTAGTTATTTCACTTGAGCATTGAAAAACCCATTCTTTGTAAAACAGTAAACCAAATGTCACAAAGGTGTAACTTATTTGATTCTGATTATGAATAAAACAACTATTATTTATGTTCTAGGTACACGTTTATTACGTGATGACAAGAAATTAAGTAGTTTTTATTGAAACAAATTAGTAGTAGAAATGAAATTCACCTATTTTTGGATAAAATAAAAACTCATCAATATTATTTTATTTTAAGTTTAAGGCAATATTGTAATAATCGTAGTTGACCGATCGTCGTCGAATCATATCAGTAGCGTTCTTTTATCAATAAGGATTGTTATCTCCAAAGTTGGACAGTAATAAAATGATAATACACATTATCTTTCTATCATTTGCAGTTTTGCGTTGCTTGTACAAATGCACTACTTCATCATTCCAAACTTTAGTTGTAGTACCTACGCGACATTACATTCTTTCGGTATCACACATTTTTATCGAAGAGTAGGTATATGGTTAGGACTTATGTACTTCGAATTTAATAATGATTTTGATATTTCTATTTCCTAGAATTTTAGCGTTGACAATTTAATTTAAATTATCTGATAATAGTTGTATAATTTGACATTCTTAAGAGTTTTACAAATAATTGAAAAAACAAATGATGCTTATATACTTATTACATGTATATAATATATACATATTACTTAAAAAAAATAGCAACATTTACGTTATATGTACTGGTTTTCGACAAATGCAAACTTTTTTAATCATTGTTATTTAAATAACAATAATAATGTACAATAATACTATTCTTTAGTGATAGTAATTTCTACTGAATAAAAATGATTGTAATTAAACAAAATCATTAGCCTTCTTTTATTTTATTTTAAAATCTATTTGATTTTTATGATGTTTTAGTCAGCTATTACGTGTAGTATTATTCTACAGCTTTGTTACACAGTTGTATGTAAAGTATGCACTTTTTTAAAATTAGCATCATACATCTTACAAGCGTCTTACTAGAGCTTTGATATTTGATTGATACAATAAGGCATTAGTACACAAAAATGTATTTGTTGTTTGTGTAATTGTATAATTATATAATAATTTATTTTATTGAATTTCCAAAATTGGAGTTATTAGTAGTAATCATTAAACATTACACTTACATTACACTTACACACTTACAATGATTTTTAAGACATTCCTTAATATTTGGATTTTCATAGTTTTATATTTTAGAAGAAAAGAAATGTAAATTTTACAAATTTGGATTATAGAAACTTTATGGCCCAATAACTTACAAATTTACCATAGAACTGTAAAATGTTGTACTCCTATTGAAACCATCAACTATCTAGTTAATAGGTCCATGATTGAAACACCTGAAGTGTTACACTTTTATTAAGACTAGTAAACATATTTGATGTTTATATAGACTTAAATATGTCATCATAAGTTAGTTTCAATATTTATTTAAAGTTACATACATTTATAGTTCATAATTTAGCTTATTATAAATAAATTCGAATATCCAATCTATTAAACCGAAATTACGGTTAATAATATATTTTTATAAATATTTCATACTTAAATGAGCATAAAAGAAAAAAATCAATTTCTGAAATATGAAATATCATGATATTCAAATAATTCTTACTCTACTACAAATTTACTAAATAAACAATTTGAGTAAAAATTGTAATATTAAAATATTAAGCAATCATGTACGTCAATTCAAAATATTTGATTAATACAGTGGCGGGTTTAGAGAGTGGCAAAGGAGGCAGTTGCCCCCGGCGGAAATTTTTAGAGGTGGCAATTTCTAATGGCAAAAACGAAAGTTTTGATGTTTTTAACGTAATATAATTTTTAGGGAGAGTTATTAATCATTGAAAAATGTATCTAACAAATAATAATAGTAATTAATAGGGCAGAGGACTTGTAGCTCTATGAAAATACTAAATATACAAGCACATAGGTATGCATTAAAAAACTTTATAATATGCATTAAAAATATGTTTTATATTTTTTTTAAAGCGACTTATTTATAATATATATATAAATCATTTAAATATTGCTTAACATTAAATCGCTTTTCATATCTTACTTTAACATCACAATACTGGAAGTATAGGATTTAACCGTCTGTCAAAAAAACATCGACCAAATTCCGATAAATAAATCTTTAACTGACTGTTAAGAAACGACTTATCTTTAGACATTTGAATATTAAAACCGTACACAAAGACGAAAAGTTGACACAAATCATGAATAAACGCACATACGCAGACTACAGAACTATGACTATAATATTAAATTATTTACGAACACTGACAAAAGTCAGTACTATGAAATTATTTGGTATCGTGTACGGAATCGTTAACGTTCTATCGGAAAATGTATGATATAAGCTATGTATTTACTTTTTATGAATCAAATTAATGTAATCACCAGTCCTAAAGAGATATAGGAAAAACGTGCGTCTACGAACAATCAATAACCGTATTAAATGATCGACATTTAAAGTAATTTTTATTTTGATAATATTTTGGTCGTATTATAGATAAAATAAGAACGTCGGCAAAAAAGTATTAATGAAATGATAAATTATTTCAAATATACATCTAAAAGTATAAAATGGAATAAATATGTCCTTAAAACAAAAAAACTCGAAATATGCAAAATGAAATGTCAAGACTAGCTTTGTGAAAACATGAAACTTTATGTTTCGTATTCTGCTATTTTTGTTTGTTGTTGAATGTTTAGTACTAATAATTCTATTATATTATAACTACCAATGTGACGATATGTTTTTAAATATATATCAATTAATAATATATATTTTATCGCTGTTGTTAATTTTTTTTATGATGGGAATAATGGTATAATAGGTTTGTAAGAACGGCATTTCAAAATCGGCTTATTGGCGGCATATTTTTTAATCCGGTACTGGATATATATAATAACCTAAGAAAATTATAGTGATCAATATAAAATATTTTTTATAATACAAAATAATCTGAAAGTATATCTTTTGGATTTGAAAAATTAAAACATATCTAAGGTACTGTATATACTTGTATTAATCAAGGTTCTTAAAATATATTATAATAAATTATAATTTAATTTAATTTTTGATGATATAGAAAATATAAATTGTACTTTGTTTTTAAATTATTAATTTTTATATTCCAATAAAAGTAGGGAAAAATAATAAAACCAAATTTTTTAAAAAAATAAAATAACTTTCATAAAAGTGTTAGTGCAATAACAACAATAATTAAAATATAAATAAAACTCAATTTGTGAGGAAAAAATAAAAAAAGTTTACAAAATGTTCAATATACAATTTTTCATAATCGATTTCAATCGAAATGTATTTTATTATTTTTTTTTTTATTGCCCTATTTTAATAATTTATTTTTAATTTATATCCAGTTGATAATTTTGAAATTCCGCCTGATTAGTAAATGGACAGACATAATTTCAACAAATAGCATTTTATTCAAATATTAAATGCGTGGTAATAAGCTTTAAAAAGTATATTTAAAAAATATTAAATCAGAAGAAGGTTTTAAACAACCAAAAAGTTAACTTTCTGATAATTTTTTTTTATTGATAATTTTTTCCTTTCTGTTTTTGATTTTATAAACAATACTGGTGCATTTGTACATTTTTCACGTTTTTTGTTCAGATTTTTTTTTAAAGCAATAACATAAATAACGTTTCAAATAATTCATGAGTTGACCATTAAATATTCTTTATGAAATAATTTAAATGAAAAAGTTAAATTTATTATCTAATTTGATAATTACTTGCGACTGATTGCAGTTAAAAGACTAACGTTCAACAATAATATTAAATTATAATTTAAATTCAAAATTTATGTTGGTATATGAAGACAAATATTTATGTTGAATGTGAATTACTAATACTTAAAGTTAAAAATTTTTATTCTGCAAAATGATAATTTCTATAGATATCTATTCATACCGTAATTATCATAGCAATCATGTGTATTTTTAAATATTATATGATTGAAAGTTTTGAATAAATTAACACTTAAAGAAAAGTAAAGTTAAATTTATAAAAATGGTAAAATGTGGAGGCCAGTTTAGATACAGGCTGGGTAAGTAGTGTTGATTTCAATACATTGTTAAAACGAATGCACCTTTTTATAAAAAAAAAACAATTCTGAGTGAAAATAGTTTGGTGTATCAATTCATAACTTAAATATGATAACTATATTAAAATAACAATTTCATATCAGAGTATGTTGAACTTTTGATGATCTAAATTTAAAATTTGGGAAAGTCCAAAATGTATAGCACAAATTGTATTAAAATATAACAAAACCATGAAACGTCTAACTAAATAACTAATATTTAATGGGAATTCATTGGAATATTCGAGTTTGTCAACATTTAATTTGTTAACGCTTAAAAATTTAAATATAAATAAATAAACAAGTCATTTATACATAGAAATAAATAAATAAATGATTGGAGTATTATTATATTGTAAAATTCAACCGGTAGGTATTGAATTAAAAATTTATCATAAAGTATATGCAAAGTAAATAAAATCGTGACTCAATATAAATAGTTAATATACTTAACATTGACTGATATATATGGACTGATGAATTTTTAGTTGGAAATCGGTAATACTTTAAAAATATAATAATACTCCATATATTTTATATTTAATATTTTAATATTTAGACGACACCGGTATATATGTCAGATATATATATATGACATATCGCACGATACATATAGGTTAGGTTACGTATATGTGTACGAAATATTTTATACGTGCATTACTTAGTACTTTTTGTTAGTTCGTTCGTTGATTTTGCTACGAGTACTTTAACTGAAATAGTCAGCGAACGTAGTAATGCTATGCTTAAATAATTTTAAATTTTGGCAACAAACTGTTTTGAAGACTGGAGAAGAAATGTAGAAATATGAAAGTAAAAAGTGTTCTGCTGTTTTAAAAACTATAGCCGAACAATTACATTTCAATGTACACAACACAGTTACGATACGTTAACCGAAAATATTATTTTTTGACAAATACTAAGTACCGAAACTAAACGAAAGGCAACTGAAAATTAATGTGGAGTGTCAATAAAAATTGTTAAACTTACATTAGATGAAAATGCGTTGGATAGAAATAAAAAATACAGGTTAGAAATGTTAACTGTGATAAACGAAAATTGTATAATGCTAGGAGAAAAGCAATGTTGAAAATACCAAAAACTATATCAAGGTTTATCATTTTTTAAACGAAACTCATTGTATGACG